TGGTTTTGATTGTTTCCATCTGGGAAATGGGGTGGATTCAGCCCTTTTCACTGTCCTGATGTCCTCTGCCAGCTGCTGTTCTTACTTCTGTAGAGTCTCAGGCTTATGGAGTGATACTCTTTCTTTATAATTGTACCTGGCTAGGGCTGACTTATCTAGCAAAGGCCCTACCAGACCACAAAAATAAGCACTCCTCTTTCCTTTGCTCTTCTTTTCTTCTTTCCACCCCTCACTCCTAAGGATAGTGACTTACTATTTCTTTTTCCTCCTTTATCCTGCCATATTAACCTTTCCAATATGCTCTGTGTATAGTCTTCCTCTAATTCATGTCCATACCTACCACCCAGATCCTCTCCAGTCTTATAAATCCCAGGTCAAAACAGAGCTTTTACCCTTAATGTCTTTTTGCAAACATTTTATTATTTAAATGTGTTTGTAGGATTTTCAGTACCCATTCACCACGGTCATACACTTTTGCAATCAAAAACAAAAATGTGAGGTAGACCACCAAAATTATTTCTAAATAGCTTTGGAGAGCACTTGAGAAAGGGTGAGCACTTTTTGGGTTTTTATAACCCAAGTAATAAACCAAGTTTTTATAATTCATTCACTAGTGAAATTTTTAATAAACATCTTTTTGCTACAGTTATTTCATTTTTCCAGACTATCCACTTTTATACAACACAGGATTGCTTATGCTGTATTTCTAGGATAGTTTATTTCATCCCATTTCTCAAGGCCATTGCTGCCTACACACTCTTAAACTTTGCAATGCTTCTATGCCAAACACATAAATACCTTGATAACAATTTAAAAAAAAAAATGAATATTAATGAAAAGAGGGGGTGTGCAGAGAAAAAAATTAATTTAGCACAAGGGTTATCTGTGGCTTATCTAAGAACGACAGCAGGATTTGTTCTGTGGTCCAGCTGATCAGGCAGACACAGGTACCACAAGAACCTTTTTTTCCTGCTTCCATAGAGAGGATTAATGTTAAGGCATACAGTTCACTGTCAGGACTATTAATTGCCTAAATTCCTCAAGCTAAAGGGAAAAAGCCAACTCAGCAAAAAGCATCTGTCAAAGGATGGTGTGGGTTTTTTTTTCAGCAGAGGCATAAGCCCACAGGAGACTCCAACCAGGTAAGCAGGAAACTCTGAATGGAAAAAAAACAGACAAAACCCATGATGCCTGGGGGTGAAAGCAAGGCAAGTTGAGTTTCTGGTGCTGCTTGGTCAACCAGTGTCTGTCCTGAAGGAAACCGGACAGTGTTACAATAACCAGCTCCTCGCTGCTCTCCTGTGTGGTTCTCAAAGCAGTGGTGAAGTGGTGGGGACTGCCAGCTTCTTCCAAGGAGGGCTGGTAGACCTCCCCCCTACCCCACCCAGTGGTGGGGTCACCACTCCTCACCATCCTTCACATCAGTGCACCCCAAGAGGTCTCTCCATGGAGCAAATCCATTCTCCAGCTTTTTTGTAGCCTGCACACTGCCCTGGACTTTGTTCATGTGGGGCAATGGGTGAAGCCTCAAGGCATGGGGGAACGACTCACCATGAGCTCCCACTGCCTGTGGCCTGGGCTTCCTTTTCCTCCCATGAGCAGCAGAGGAGAGCACGTCTCCACACATGATCCCAACATGTCTGATGGTGCTGTGACTCCCAAATGCCAGACTGCTGGCCCAGAGGTGACGGTGTCTGAGGCACCTCAAGGTGTAGCTGTAAGGGCTTGGTCCTGTGTTTTATTACAGCTGGTGGACTTACCAGCTCTTGTGCTACAGACACCGGCACCAGCATCGTGAGTTCTGAACAAGTCTGCTGGGTGGCCTTTTACATCCAGACGTTAGTTTCTACCATCAGTGGCTTTGGATCCAACCAGACAATTGCCCTGAACTAGGATGCCGTGTCTCTGTGGCGATGCAGCAGCTGCCAGCAGCTGCTCCATCTGCGCCATGCCCACGGCTTTCCATCCAACCTCCACTCTCCCTCCATCTCCCCCAGCTCTGTAAGCAGATCTGCACACCTTGTGAGGACACAGGTTATATATAATTAAACGACAGCCACTGAGGAAGACAACCTCCCAAGCCACAGAGTGGTTTGGTGTTCCAGTCTGTGTCATTTATGATGAAGAAGTATTTTCCGAAGGAAAACAGGCCATTATTGAAATAGCTGCTTCTCCTCAGTGTTTTCAGCTCTCCACCTCTCTGGGGCTGTAATGAGACTGCAGCTCCATCCAGGCTCAGACCCAGGCACTTTCCAGTTCCTAGTCATGTTTCCCCACTTTGCTACTGCCACATAGCCACAGCGTGCATCAGGATGATCTGCACATACCAAGCAGGAGGAGGAGTGTTGACGGAAAGGAATGCACTCTGATAACAGGGAAAGGCACACGGCAACTTTATTTATATTAAGCTTAGATTTATATTCTTTTTCACTGTCCACGCGCAAGCATATTATATTTCATTGGTCAGGTACTTCTGTTCATGCGCCTAAACTCGTCTTTTAATAGGTGGTCGACCGTTCTTTGCGTGCTGGCAAATCTCAAAAACAGCACCTGTTATTTACAGCAGTTTTGCTCCTTTTCTACTTTCCCATCCTGGATTGTTTACATTCTTTACAACTTCAGAGCTGCAACTGCTCAAATTCAAGCCTACCATCCAGTCGTTTCCCACAGAGGAGGAGTTACAGAGCTGATTTACCACCTTGGAGACAGGGACTGTAAATCACAGATCCTATTAGCAGGCTTAGGCAAGGCAGATGAAGACGGCTTACTTGCCCACACTGCACTGCAGTCCTGGATGCCAAAAGGACCTTTTCAGACAAGGAGTGCTGAAGACCAAGTTCCAGAATGCTAGTACCTACCAAGCCCAGGCTCCCCAGCACACTGAAATCCCCATAGCAACTCTGTTCAGAAAGACAAAGTGATGTAACTGCCATAAATGGTTTTTTAAAAAAAAGGAATACTGCATAGGAATGAATAACATCACCACAGAGACACATCAAACACCTCTATTTGGCCAAACTGACAAATATCGAAGAGTTGGTGAAACATGGTGCTGACCTGGTCTCTAGTGGGCCTCCAGAAAGGATGACTCTAGAGAAGAATGCCCTAAAACAAAACAATGTGCTCTTTTTCCAGCAGGCTACATAATTGTATTTTTGTTGTTAGGATAGTCTCTGCTTTTGTAGATGCATTTTTCTTAAATGTCAGGGGCCACTCTCTTAAACCTCCATGGCATTTATGCTCCACAAACATATTTTAAAGTAGATGCAAATATCCCTATAAATATTAGTAATATGAGAACAGGGCCCTAAGGAAAATTACTAGATAATAGTAACTTTGAAAACTTTGTAGCATCAAATGAATAAGATATTCATGAAAAGTGTTTTGCAGTGGGAAAAATTTTGGAGTCTGGGTTAAACTCTTACTTTAGCACTTATTCTTTTGCAATTACTGACATGGAATTATGTCCTTCTACGAGAACTAGTTCTAAAAAGTACATTTAATGTGAATGAATACACAGAATATCCTGGAAATATAGATGTAACTCATGAGATCACTAGTGGCATTTAGTACCACCCATTAGCTACCTAGGCCTGAATAGTGTCAACTGAATAAGCCAAGCAGTCTGTATATGCAACAAAGTGTGGAGGAAAAATATCCCTTATGTAGGAGTTGAGCAGATCTGCAGTCCCTCAAGTACAGTGCCTGTAACATATTTCTGCACTCCAAGATTTCCCAAATTGAAGCTTGAATGGCACAAGGAAATTTATCATTCCTCATAATTCTGGTGGAAGACACAGGACTCCCTGGGTGAAGAAAAATGTGGCAATTCCTCTGGTTGCATTTGTTGCTTAAACTGGTCACAGGCTGATGCTTTGGGGTCTTCAGTAAGGCTGTCTGGAATTTCCATCCTCTGGAAATATGCCTAAGTTTGCAGAAAAATATTTGTCCCACTTCTGAATAAAAACTAAAGAAACTAGACACCTTTTGCAGCTAATATGGGGAAAAGAAAAAAGGCAACTGTTGGAACAAGAACAACCCACATTATATTTTACAGCTGGCTAGGAGTCTTTTGGTTTGACAAAAAAAAATAAATTCTCTGGTAAAGCTGAAATTGTCTAGCAGCAAATCATTCTAGCATACAATTCCCTACTCCTTTCCCTGTTATATCTTTGGACTTTTTTCCTTGAATTGAAATATAAGCCAAAAATTATTGCACAACCAAACAAGGAGTAAAAAAAAGAACCTCTTGACTGATCGCATTGAGTAAATGTCACCTGAATCAATAGAGTGCAACAGATGGAGATTTTACCATTGTTTTTTCAAATTAATCATTAATTTATTTTTTTTAAGTAATGACTGTAAATCTTGTCAGAATAGATTGTTATTCTGCCAGTTATGATTCATGAAACCAGTACAGAATGAGATCATTATCATTTAAGTAAGCGTTTTTGAGACTGCCAAATATCCTCCAAGTATTTCCTGCAGCTGGGACTGCAAGCATCTTCCTTGGAGCTGGCAGGCTGCTTGCACCATATCCTGCTCCAAGAGCTTCTCGTGGCTCTGGCTTGCAGCCGTGTCATGGCCACAGGGCCCCGCTTGAGTGGGTCATTTCACTTGCCCCTCAAGCAGCAGCAAAACTGAAAGCTGACTTCAAGATGCAAAGCTGATTGTGGAGTCAGCACCTGCAGAGATGCACGACCATCACGCCAAGGAGTTGGGGCTGGAAAACTCTTCCCAGGTAGGATTTTTGCCCATCCAAGCCTCCAGCTCAGCTGGCTGATTACTGGGACATAGCAGTCACCGATGCCTTTGGATAAACTGGGATTTGTCTCCTCCTCTTAGAAATTCCCACATTGTAAAGCCAAAGAACGCAGCAGGCAGAGCGCAGCCATAGGAGACAGGTTACCAAAAATAGGACTTTATCTTTTAATTTCTTTTTCGTGTAATTTCCTGACTGCGTTATTGAAACAACAATAACATAAGGGGCATGATGCTGCTACAGGGAAAACAGGCACAGGTAAAAGGAAAAGACACAGTGACATATTTGTGTAGAAGAAAGGAAAAGGAGCAGTAAAGGAATTCACAACTTACCTAACAAATAGACACAGAACCATCCCCTGTCCCCCCAGCCTATTTTAGAGTCCTCTGACACATGAAGGATGCCAAAAAGTGAAAAACAAACAAAACCTCAAAAAAAAACAACCCCAAAAAACCCCACAAACCACCACCCCAAATTACAGCAATTACTTGATCGGGGCATTTTCACTTCCTAATCTGTGAGAGAGAAGTTCCCCTGGGTCATCTGACCTCTGTTGAAACTAAACCAGGAAGAGGAGCAGCAGCAGTCAGCGAGTGCAGGGTGTTCTCCAGCTATACAAAAGCCTCTCCTGTGTGAGCCAGAGCTCAGAGCAGCACAGGGATGTGCATGTGTGCGTATACATAGCAAGGCGAGGTGCAAATATCCTCCCAGCCAGATCATCTCTTGCACAACTCTCCAATCCTGTGCAGCCTGGCAGACCTTTTCTTTTTCCCTCTGCTGCTCATCTCCAAACATGCCTCTAGAGCAGAGCTTCTGAAGAGCTGCTTCCCCCTGTGCATCTCCCTGAAAGCAGCTCTCTCCAAGAAGAGGCAGTGACCAGCAGCATGGTGGGAATGATGGCAATGAAGACATGGATTGAGCCGGTGGTTGCAAGCTCACAAGTGGCCAGTGCCTTCTACGACACAGCTCTGCTGCTGGTGGTGAAAAACTACTACAACCAGACCAATAGCACTGCTCCTTCCCATGCACTAGAAGATGCTCAGCAGAAGGCTGTCTCCAATTTTTATATCATCTACAACCTTGTTCTGGGCCTGAGCCCGCTGGTGTCAGCCTACGGCTTGTCCAAGCTGGGGGACAGGATACATCGGAAGATCCCCATCTGCTTCCCTCTTCTTGGTTACTTGGGCTCCAAAACTCTCCTGCTCCTCCTGATCCTGCTGGGCTGGCCAATCGAGGTGATGTATGGGGCTGCTGCCCTCAATGGGCTGACGGGAGGCTTCACTACACTTTGGGCAGGCATCATGGCTCTGGGATCCCTGGGCTCCTCCGAGAGCAGGAGGTCTCTGCGGCTCATCATTATTGAACTGGTGTATGGCCTCGCTGGGTTTGTGGGAAGCATGGCATCTGGCTATCTCTTTGTTGGCTTCAGTGACCGCTATCGAGAAGGGACTGTGCTGGTGTGCTGCAGCATCGCTTGCTACGCTTTCTGCCTCCTCTACAGTATTTTTATCCTGACAGTCCCCAAGCCAGGAGCCTCCTGCCCAGCCAAAGAAAAGAGTGCAGAAGAGGTGGGTAGCCAGCTACCAGCCCATACAGGAGCAGCAGCAGCAACAGGGAGTTCCCAACCTTCAGGAGGCAGCAGCTCCTCTCTAATATCCCCCTCGAAACTCATCATCATCCTGCTATTTGTGGCAGCAATCCTCTATGACCTTGCCGTAGTTGGTGCAATGAACGTACTCCCACTGTTCTTGCTCAGGGAGCCTTTAAGTTGGAATGCTGTGGAGATCGGCCATGGCAATGCTGCTGGGTACGTGATCTTCATCACCAGCTTCCTAGGGGTACTCGTCTTCTCCAGATGCCTCAGGGACATTACCATGATCATGATTGGAGTAGTATCGTTCAGTGCTGGCATCCTCATCATGGCCTTCGTGCAGTGGACGTTCCTGTTCTACATTGGTGAGTCAAACAGCCACTCACGTGAGCAAATGCACCCCAAGAAAGGAGTGTTCCAGCACTACTGGAAGGGCTTTTTGCTCTGCTTCACCACAGGTTTCCAAGCAGGGAGTTAGACAGACCGTCACATGAGAACATGCAAGAGAACATTATTATTACCCTTTCCCCACATCTCCCATTGCACTCTTACACTCAGCACCCTACAATTTCCAGAGGAGGCATATACTCCTGCCAAGGCTTAGTTTACGGCCAGTTTACTTGTAATTTGTCACTTGATCATAGACCAGATCTGAGCAGGGAAACAATGTTCACACTCTGCGGGAATGGGAATACTGCTGACTCCCTGTACTAGTTGGACCACATAACCATATCAATGGAAACACTTCTTGTGAGCCAGAAACAAAATGGCAAAGGCTTCCTATTAAGCAAACATCTTAAGATGGGATTTATTTTTGTCATGTGAAGGCCCTTATGGCTGATGGGAAACTTAATGAAACATTGGAGCTGCTTTAGCAACTAAAATATCGTAATAATGTAGTTTACAAATCTCACATTATATATAAATGAACAAGGGACTGATAATAATAGACGGGGTGGCATCCAATGATAAAGGAAAGGCAAGTTTATTTTTGGGAGGTAATCTCTGATGGGTTTTGTGGCAGAAATGTCTGACAGAGTATCATGTATTGTATGGCTTTGAGGTTTTGCTTCTGAAAGTCAGAAAAAACCTGGAGATAAAAGGCCTGAAGCAATTTTTTCTGTCTGCCCCTATAGGGAATGAGAAATTGAAAATTAAGCAAAGTTATTCTAAAGGGAAAGATGATAGACTATTGTATTTGAGTAGTAAGCCAAACACTTAGTAAGTGAAATTTTTAAGAGATTTTGCTTATTTAGGCAATCAGGCTGGGGAATAAAAGATTAAAAAAAAACAAAGTAAAAAAAAAATGCTTGTTCATCATCATGAACACATGCTGCTATACAGTGTGTATAGTGTTACTGCATTGCAGAAGATACTGCATTGCAGAAGCATCTTGGTACACTAGACATGGACCAGGTCTTCCCTGAGGCTGGTTCTGCTGACAGGAAGGTAATTCCAGCTACCTATAAATTTCCACACTAGAGAAAGCCTAAAATAATGCAAGCCAGAAGTGCCAAGATAAAAGACAACTGTAGTGTTATAAAGGTACTGTTCCTGTCAAGGCTGTGTAATACTGGGGGCTCTGTCTACTGCTTAGACTCAATTCACCATCCTTTCTATCTCAAAGGACAGTGCTGTATTCCATCTCTGCTGGGATGTCTGGCCGAGACTAAAGCCTATGTCTAGTTTGGGCAAAGTACCTCTGCTAATGGGAGCAAGAGGTGGCTTATCCACCTTGTCCTGAAGTGAGGACCTACTTCTTTGTGGCACTCAAGGGACAAAAAAGATGAAGCAAAGAAGCAAAGTGCCTGCCCAAGCCAGTGGCATGTAGCCTTCAAAAGCAGTGGCTGCTGTGCTAGGTAACAAAGAGCAGGTACTGATGATAACTACAAATTCATTGCATTACAGCACGGGCAGTGATGCTCTTTGCCCTCATCCCCTTACCAACCATCAGGTCCATGTTGTCCAAACATGTCGAAGGATCATCCTATGGTATGTATTTGTTACCCTACTGATCAAAAACCCCCACAAATCTCTTCATTCAGCCTAGACCACAAAGAGAAAGGTAAGTTATTGCTGCAGTCTGTGCTTTGCGTAATAATAACAGGACAGATGATACCACAAATGGGAAGGGAGGAGCAGAGAAACTTGCAGGACAAGATTGTTATATCCAGTCTTCTCGTCCTTGCTTGCATCATCATTTATCCACAGAATTGTCAGCACATGCTTTGAAAGATTACTATCAGTGTGTAGGTCAAAGACAGGGAAAATAATAGAAGTGCTGCTCAAAAACACAGTACTCCAGGGAAAACCAAGAGAAGCAGGATGTCGAGTTGAAGCACTGTGATATTCACACCATTTATATTTGGCTTCTTTTACTTACAGTTTTGGGAAGGATGGATTTCTTTCATCTTTTTTTATGTTCTCCAAACATTTTTCTGCGTGTTTGGCAATTTGTTCCTGTCAGACCATGATTTAACTACAAAGAATAAACTTCGCATAAAAATGGACCCTTCTTTGAACATAGCTGCAGGAATTCTTTTCCATTAGAAAATTTACTACAAAATAGTAAAATATATTTTACAAGAGTGTATTGAAGGTACCATTTTTACACCAATGAGCTAGAGACACGTGTTCAATTAGCACCACAGGCCCCCAACTACTCCATGTCCTCCAAACATGTTCCTGCAACCATCCTTCACAACCCTGTCCTTTCTGCCTTAGGAACATGGCACTGTTCTGTAACCAGCTCATTCCTACTGCTTGTGCTCCCTCAATGTGCACTGTAGCAAAACCATCTACCTGCCACAAAGAGCACAGATCACACTCCAGTTAATCATTACTATTAATCATAACATTGTTTTTAACCTCCACGAAGAACCATATGGGCTGCACTTGAAGACAGCAGCAGACCAGATCTCAAGCAGGACCCCTGCAGCAGAGCAGCCCTTCCCTTCTGGTAGCAGTCTCGTCTCTTTACGTGGTGGAAAAGGCTACCAGGGCAGCAAGCTCAGCATGCAGCCCTGATCTTGCTCCCAGTTTGCACATCCCAGCCAGGCTGCATTACTTCCCCTTCACCCTCTTATCATTAGAGAAACACTTCAGAAAAAGCTGTTTCAACTAGAATTTTTTGAACATAGCAACAGGAGTTCTTTTCCATTAGAAAATTTACTACAAAATAGTAAAATATATTTTACAACAGTGTATTGAAGGTACCATCATACAAATCACATAGACCTCCCCATTTCAGGCATTATCATCATTTCAGCTCTGTGGTCCACTCCTCTGGCCTAGAGCAGAAGCAGACCGTGACTTAAATCTCTTCTGTCCTGAAGATGTTTCTACCTTCTAGGGAAAGGAGCACTTATTGCCCAGTTTATTGCTGTTTTTCCAAGCAGCTACCTTTACATCTAGAGTCTTCAAGCCGTTTTCCAGCTGGATCTTTTGTCCTATACCTAACAGAAGGAAAAATCATTTAACTGTGGTCTAGAAAAGAAGCAGATGCAAGCTCATGTCATCTGGTGTTTTGTGAAGCAATGACCACGTTGCTCTTCCACACAGCTGTAATCTTGGATTTGTGAAGAGGTACCACAGCTGGTTTTCTAATCCCCAATAACAAACTATATTCTTGTTTTACAGGTAAGGTGTTTGTCTTGCTGCAGCTGTCTTTAGTCATCACGGGAGTAGTGACATCTACAGTCTATAACAAGATCTATCAAAACACACTGGACTGGTACAGCAGCTTCTGCTTCATTTTGTCTTTTCTAGTTGGCTGCCTGAGTCTCCTCCCTTTAAGGTAAGAAATAGAAAAGGCTTTGTTCAAAAGGACACACTGTATTTTCTCCATGCTTCTTGATATTACGTCTAAAGTGAATAATATAGGTGAGGAAAAAAAAAGTTGAATTTAAAATGAAAAAAATTGGAAGAAACAAAGAAACTTGCAGAAAGGCATTGACAAATGTCCAGAATGGAAATTGCAACAATGTAGTCAGTGTTTCTTTAATCTTTTTTTTGTTTAATGTAGCATGAATATTTGGCAGATTTTAAGTGATAATCCCAGGAAACAATGCATTCACACAGATGTACGTGCTTGATACTGTGAAAATAGTAGTAAGTAGAATGAAGAAATAATCCTACACAAAGCAAAATGTTTTTTAAAAATTCCAGTACAGGTTACTTACTCACTGTGATAGAAAACAATAATCTGAGTTTCCCTCAAGTTTTTCTTTCAAAAAGAAACCATTACCACAGTGAAGGAAATGGTTACTTTTCTGATCCACTGACTTTGCCCAACTGTACCGCTACAGAGTGACTGAGAGGTATAATTTCAAGAACAAGTTTTAAGAACAAAACCAGCTTAATCTGAAGAGAGAAGGCTGAAATAGCATCTCCATCTACTTTTCCAGAATTTTTGAAGTATCTGTCTCCAAATCTCACCTTGCCTGCCATCCCATCTCCAGGATGCTCCAGCTTGTTGCACTACTAGAATCAGCAAGATTCTTTCACATGAAATGCATTGTGATAGCATCAATATTTAATCCATGCAAAAACAATATTTTCATCCAGAAATAAGGCAGATACTGTATTGGCTAGTGTCTGATCCCAGGCAAAATTCTTGCCCAGCTTTGCTATGATTTAAAAAAAATATAGTAGTAGAAAGTTTAAAGGCACTATGTATACCCACTTCAGTGATATCACTTAAAGAGGAAGAAACGAAAAAGGAACACTAAGGAAGGCTCTTACATCACCACCTGTTTTATCCAGAGCACCAAAGGCTTTCTGGACTTGTGAACACACTTGACAATTGGTGTCAGCAGCACTACTAGTGTGGGGGAGGCTACATCATACTCATCATTCCCCTGGCTCTGCTGTCCTCATCTTGTTTTCCAGACAAAAGAGTTGTTTCTTATGCACAATCCACTGTTTAACAGGGAGTCACTGCTTGGTACTCAAATTTTTAATACTGGTTCCTGTTATTAGGAGTTATTAGGACTTGAAGTCTGAAATGTGACAACTGCTGCCAATGTCATTGTTTGTACACAAGAGAGGCTGGCAAATCACTGAAAGAATTCACATTAGCACTCAGCCAGCTTCAGATACCCCAGTAAAGTTTAAGATATAGATGGGGAGAAAGCAAACTGCAGTTTGAGAAAGTACTTTGCTAATTTTTTTATCATCTGCATTTTTATTGTTCTTTACAGCTTTGTGGCCATCAAACAACGTTCAACCACTGGCTCCCTTCAGATTCTGACTGAGTGACAGAGGCATCTTTTGGTCGTTATCAACTCTCTGAGCTACCGAAGTGGAAGTTTTGCCAAGCATCAGTCCCCACAGTTACCAACATTACCGAAAGCATATCATTTTTATTTCCATTTCACAGCATGCCACGGCCTCTCAGTCACTAAGCTCACCCAGAAAAAGAAGCTTTCCTTGTTACTTCTGCAGTACCTCATCTTGCAGAGTATGTGCATTGGCTATTGCAAACTAGCAGTCCTCAGAGCGTTCTGCTTTCTGCTGGGCTAGTTAGCAATAGCACAGAGGGACAACAATACCAAGCAGAAATGAAAACACTGTTTCTAGGCACACCATTCAGTATGGAAGGAGAAAACAGAGGATCGGTTTTCCATTAGTTCCTTCCTGTCCATTCAGAAACCTCAGGGCAGTTCTGGGACTTTGGCTGATGAAACAGGGGACTGCAAGCCACATGCAACGTGCACACAGCCATCAGCAGAACACACCAGCTCTCCCGATGCTACAGATGTGATCAGCACAGCCAAATAACATTACATAGAAGACCATTAAATACAGAAATACCACCATAAAAAGATGTAAGCTAAAGACTCTTTTAGTAATCCCTACAATAAAACACTCCTGAACAGATATTCGTGCCCTTGACTTCTGGGAAATTGTCCCACTGTCCCTGGACAGTCCTTCAACAGAGCTCACAGGACTAAGACTCAAGAGCCAATGCTGGTGTTTCAGCTCACACCACCGGGATGTGCTACTCTTGTAACGTGTTAAGAACAGGTATGCACAGCACACTACTCCTACAGGCTTTGTGGAGGTGTAGGGACACCGATACCAGGCAATAGTCACCTTGTTACCTCAGCTTTAATCTGTGTTGGAAAGGAACCTCATACAATACAGCAACTAGAATGTGATGATGTCAGATAAATCCAAACATGAGTCAAAAGTCTGGCATGCCTCAAAAGAATGTGTTTGCTTACACACTAATTGAACTAACAAGGATTAAGTGGCTTCCAAGGTCCTGGACTAAGAAAAGGGAAGTTAAAAGCCCTTCAGTAACTGAAATAATCTGGAGGCAAATCAGGCATCTTCAGTTCAAGCCAGGGATGCAGCAAGAAGAAGTTGGTTATTCACTATGCAACCCCATCTTCTGAGGAGGTTGCTGTCACCCAGTTCCTCTCCACACACACTTGCCATCTTTCCTCAACTCCACGCTTCACTTTCAGTAGCAGAAGTAATGCAGCAACAGATGACTTCTAGTTAAATCAACTGTGGAACAAGATTTTAGGGAAAGGGTATTTCTGCAGTAAGATAGTGAGCTGCTCAACAAAATAAGCAGACACATAATTTCAGTGGTGAAGGCTGCAAAAAATGAAACTTTATTCTAAGTAAAGGAGTCCTCTTTTAATACATTTATTGGTCCATTCCATTAAATTAATTGAGGTAAACAGATGGTGCATTTTAAAAAAAGGTACACACTAATAGAGAATTACAAACAGTTTTACCTCAAAATGTTTTTCTCCATCAATACTAGTTCCATAGTAAACAATGCACAAAGTATATTTATACAGAGATATATGAAAGGGTAGAGAAACATGCCAGCACCAGAAGGCAAGACAACATTTCCTAGCCTGCGAGTCTGAACAAGAGCACAGTTGCCAGATTTGGTCAAGTGCAGGAAACAAAAGCCTTCTTCCCCTTTTTACATTGTTTACTAGCTAATTCACACAGAGACAAGTCTTTTCACAGCTTTCATTTTGTTTTTAAATGGTATGAACAGTGACTCTAGTTCTGGTGAGTGGATTTACAGAGGTTGAAACCAGAAGAGTCTGGACAATGAGCCAGCACCATTTTGGTCCCCAGCACTGACCCTTCAACACAATGCGTGAGGCTCATAGCCAGCTTACCTTCAACTGCATGGCCCAACTCTCCAGACCTTAGGGAGGGACAGAGGGATGCAGGCACAGAGGAAACGAGAACAAGGACGGTGCTTCTCTATTTTTGTGTACTACAGACAAAAGCCCTTTGGCTCTTTGTTATTACAGGACTGTCAGCAACCTGCCTCCCTGTGCAGTGGGAAAGTGGCACTGGCCCCAACCCTGCTGTTTGATCTGAGGGTATGGATACATATCTCAGCAGCAGCAGAGTTAAGGAAACGGTTTAGCTTCAAAGCATAGAGTACCAAGACCTTCAAAGTAGTGTAGGACAGCGACCAGCCTTTATTGTTTCAGCATGCCTCTCATATAAGGGTGATCTACATCTACCTCTTTGGAAAGTGCATTATTTTCTGCACAAATACTGTGCCCTAGGCATGCAATCTTAAAACGTGTCCAGTTCATTACTAAGTACTTGTACGAGTCAGACACCTCAGCAAGACTTCAAAGTGCTAAGCACAGAATTAAGCATTGCCACGTCAGTCTGTGAAGTTGGTTAAACAGCACTCCCAAAAACTTTTAAATGCAACATTCAGTCTCCCAGAAGGCAAGTTGATTCCTATGATCCCCAGTTTTACTTCACAAAACAAACAAACAAAAATAATCTCAAAGTAGTAGCAACTCCCCTATCTTAAAAAAAGAGTCCCTACTTTCCCTACATATTGGTTGTTGTAGTAAAAGTTAATATACCAGAGGAAAGACTGTTCTACCTTCAGAATTTAAGATGACTGAACATCTAATGAGCTAGTTTAGTCTATGCAATTTTGCTCAGGGGTTATCAGCACCAGGATTTTAAACAGTATGCAACATTAATCATAACCATATACACTTAAATTATACAAGTTTTAACAAAAGCATGGCTCCTGTTAAAACACTGAACAGTCCCTGCTGGTCTGGGAGGGGATTCTTTTGTATGTTGGCATCTGCAGGACTGACACCTGAAGCAACATGCATCATGAACAGGCTATGCAGAGCCACTGCTGCAAGGCTACTGCACAGTACCTCCACTGAACTGTCTCTGCTGCTCATGCTTTGTGGATATTTTTTTCTACTGCTTATCACACTACTTTATCCTTAGAACAAGCATTAGTGCAACAAAAATCCAAGTAGACTTCAGTGAAGAATCCATAGTTTATTCCTTAATACAATTCACATCAGAATAGTTTGTGTCTTTAGGGCTACACCTACTGCCTTTTCATTTTTCAATGTGTACCTGAAAAAGCCACAATGTTTTAACATCTATATTTATTGCAAGATTTAGAGCTTGGTAAAAATATATATGAACAATGCATGGTCCATAACTGAGCACAGAAACAAGTGCTTTATTGTGCTGGTGCCACTTAAGAGAAGAAACAAACATCCCCAAAAATAACCAGGACAGCAGTGAATTATGTATCCTCCAAGAGGGACCCTGGCCTGGCTATGCATTAAGAGGACAGCTGGGCTGATTTAAGGACTGCTGAAGAAACCATATGTTACAAAGGCTCACAACAAGGGTGCCAGCTACTTTTGATGTCATTTTAGTGCACATGCAGAGGGTGATCTAAGTGACTTAACACTCAAGAAGTCACTCAAAGATGAAGCTTCTGCACTACTCCTGCTTTCCTTTACCAAGACCTTTTATTTTTCTCATGAAAGTTTGGGCCATCCAAAGTAAAGACTCATATCCTGTAATAATTACAGGATAACATGTCACGAGTTTCTCTAGCAGGTCAGCTCTCAACCTCCCACTAGCAGCAGTTAATGTGAGGTTTTACAAGTGTTACTCTGCACATCTTACAGGAATTTCTTGTAACTTTTGTAGTTCTCCCAACTGGCATGTTTGGCTGCCCCAAATATCAGAGTCAGGAATCCTCCACACACCTCACAGCCTCTCCCACAGCTACCTCGTGGTTTAACAACAGCTCTTCATAAAAAGACACCACTCCATAGCTCATAGGAGCTGAGACCCACCACTACACACCATTCTTACACTGCGGCAATTCTTGCAGAGGACTTCTCTTTTGAACGTGATGTTTTACTTCCCTTGTATAGGCTTAAGAGAGGTTTTAGTGTTTCAGACCATGTAATATATCCTGTTAGTGGCCACTGCCTGACAAGCATGTTCCAGCCTCTTCTCCAAATCAACCTGCAGTTGCCACAGCGCCACATACTCCAACAGAGAAGTGCAAAGTGTGCCCCCTTTCCAGCAGCATAGCCAGAAAGGGATTTGTCTGAAATCAAAACATGCTTTGGATGAGGACGAGTTTAAAAACCATACCACAAAATCGGTGGCATCAGATGGAATAAAATTCAAGCTGATGTTCAACATCTCCAGCCTCAGCAGTTACATGTTGATTTGAACTTCACTGGGTACTCTCCACGTCCATTATGCTTCTCATGAACAGCTGTGATGTTAATTGCTAAACTCCTCAGAACCAACACTCTCTTCAGTTTGACATAAAACTAAGTGGGAAAAGGACCTCAGTCTTGTAAGGCATCAGATGAAACCACCTGTAGGAAAAACCCACCAATCTTTCTACTCATCTTTTGCTGGTATTTTTTTAATAAGATGGAGGGAACACTGACTAAGTATTAGTTCAAATTATATTTTGCTTGACTCCCAGTGATGTTGTAGAGTCAACTACAAAATTCCATTTACCACACAGGAACCAACTCCAAAAGCATGCTGATCTCTGTTTGTGGAGAACGGGGAAGACTGTAACCCTGAAGGTTAGACTCTCATATAGTATGCAAGTGCTTATTCTAGAAGGAAAGGCTGCTTCAAGATGATCCCCCTAAGTACTTCCCTTGCGCAACAAGAGTAGTCTGTTATTCTGAACCTAACAACAACTTAACGCAGAGTTCTCATTTACACCACGTAAGTGTATAGACAAACTGAGTTTAAAACAAGAAGCATAGTTTGTTTAGTACCACAGAGTTGTCAGTGAAGGCTGAATCAAAAAGGAAGACCTCTTAAAATGTCTTAAACTTGACTTTTTCATACAGAGAGCACCACCTCATTAGCCTGAGAGCTACCACAGTACTGCAATAACTCATCTTGAGACTTGCTATAAAGCCACCAAGCTGAGTAGGCTGCAGGTTCACTTGGTGTTTATGAAGGGACAAATTCCAAATCAGACAAATTCCAAACGTGATAAGTTGTCATAGGAGAACACAGAATTTGGACATTCTCAATTACTGCTCAGGTTCTTTGCAAGAATGTTAACTAAATGACTAAAATTTAGCAGTAAGCACTGAATTATTTATTCCCCCAAATCCAAATATTACAGTGATACGAGCCCCAACTCCCACCCTTAGGATGGTTAAAAAAGATTTATCTGCATGCTGTTAAACCAAGACTCTAGGACCCTGGGAATCACGTCAGCATTCCTAAGGCCACCAACACCAAATAGGCATTTACTTGAGGTTGGACTGCAAGAGAAAGGAGAAAAAAAGGGACTTGCAGAAGCAGTTACTTTTCTAAAGGCCAATAAAAACTACTAAGAAAATGAATCTGTAACAAAAGTAATCTTAAAAGACTTGCCATGTTGTTCAGCAGAGACAGGTATGAACACTTTGTACCTACCAGGGTACCCATCTACCTCCCACCAAGCCATTTAAGGCAAGTTTCACACACGCTGATGCTTGGTGGAAGCAAACATTTGACACTTTTTGGCTTTTTGGCTGCTGCAAAAAAACACATGGGGAGAGGAAGCAGAGTCCTACCTTTATTACAGCAGGCATCTTAAGTGACCAAGCCTGAAGTGGCTCTAGTAAAACCCATATTTAAAGCATGGTCTAAGAGAATTGCACCATGCCACTTCTGAGCTAGCTTTAGAAAAGTTAAAGACTCATACTTCCTCCACCATTCCCCTAAAAGGGGCCCTTGAAAGGCTGCTGTTCAGCTCGTTCCCGCAGCTAGGCTGATCCCAATCCCCAAGTCAATCACAAGTACACTTCAGCCAACTGACATTACTTCATAATCACCAAGGTAAACAATGATACTCAGTAGGAACCAACAGCATGCCACACTCACAAAAACCACAGTTCATGCTTGCACCACAGGCTATCTGTGGGTGGTGGTGGTATGTTCTAAGACCAGACCAACTCCCAGACAGAAAAGTCTCCAGAGACCATTTTATTCAGAGGGAGCATATGGGCTGTAGTGAAACAGAAAATATTCTTTCCCAGCCTTTCCCTGTCCATTCAAAAAAAAAAAAAGGATAAGGATTGGTTAGGGAGTACAGTATCATAGAAATAATTATTGTTGGTTTTTTTTAGCAAACAAAACAGAATGGTAATAAAGATGTCATATGGCACCTTGCAGTAGAGTTTTATTTTCATCTTTTTAGTGTTCCACTCATCAGTTCCTTCCAGACTAGAGAGGTAAGTTTTATCAAGATCCCCATGCACTTTCACTATGAAACCCCAATCACTCCATAGGATAAAGAAGGAACCATTCAAGATAACTCAAAAAGATGAAACATACCCCAGTTTAAACACAAAAATTGAGGAAAAAATTCAAATAGTTTTCAGAGCGTCTGTTCCAGCTTAAGTGCAGCTGTCATTTCAGTTAACTTGACAAAAAAGAGTCCTTCATACAGTTCCAGTATGTCTAGTGGTACTGAGCATAGAAGTGCTAGACTGTCCATGAAGGTACTTCTTATTTGGTCTCTGGCTTGTCTTGCAATAGTGGTATAATTGACTCCCACGCCGTAAGGCACTGAAGAAAGAAATACAGATTTAACAAATGGGTTTTACATCAGTTCTTGTAACTTCTGACTAACTCTTCCACATCACCAGAATGCAAGTTGAAGAAAATCTATTGCATCTTCACAGATTAGTACAGAAATAAAAACCACCAAAATCTCAAACAGCAAAAAAAAGTGTTACAGTAGCTGCACCTCCCAAACAAATTAAACAAAATCACATTTTCAAAAGTTGTCAGCTGGCCCAAGCCATTAGAAATCATCGGAATACCTGAGATTTCCAAACACCAATCTAGATTCTTCTACACTGAAGAACATCACAGCTTTCAGCTAGGCAGACAAACTGTTGCTAGTAGAAATGTACATCTTTGTAGTGTTACTGTGAGGTAGAGCTGATTGGGACACAATGGTAGGTATTACAGACTACCTCCAGCAAACTTATTTGAAAAAATGCCATGCATTTAGAGAAGGTAGTTCTGAGACACAGTGTATTCCAGTACAGCTCTGGGACTTGACTCCACTGAATGACGAACTGGTAGTGCCTAGTACAGTAAACTAGAAGTGGAGTCTAGCTTCTGGGTTATTAGGAAGTCACTCGAGGCTTTGGAGTCATTTGCCCAGACGCGTACTTAACTTAGTCCTTGTACTGTGTGTCGTTACTGTCTTTCAACCTCAAAGCTCAGAAGTCAAACTGAACAAATACAGATCATGGAATCCACAAATTATTAAATGCTGGGAATGGGTAAACTCATCACCAGCTCTTATATCCACAAATTACTGTTGTGAGACATCTTCCTTCTAACCTTTCTGACTGTACTGCAGGTGAGTAATTATTTCTAGTTGTGTACCCTGAAGTGATTACATGCTTTCCTACCAAAAAAGCTTCCTTGCTAAGAGCAAAACTAACAGATTTAAATGTCAATTGCAGAGGCACTGCTGCATGTTCAGAGGAGTCTTTAATATCCCCCTCCACAGCACCTTAGAAGAGATCAGGATGAAGGAAGTTCTGTGGGACTAGTTATGAACTAGTGACATGACAGACAATCGAAGGGGAAAAGGTACTGCATGCTAATCCTACACAGAGAAGTAACCTAGCACAGGAAGAAGCTTGTAAAGTAGATGTGGAAAAAATGAATAGGCAAGATGATGTATATTGCTATGCATGAACCTAGTAGCATTTAATATGTCCTAAATATTTAATATACCTGAAGAGGGCTTACAAAAGAGCTGGAGAGGGACTTTTTACAAGGGCTTGTAGTGATAGGACAAGGGGTCTTAAACTGAAAGAAGCCAGGTTTAGATTAGATAATTAGGATGAAATTCTTTACTATTAGGATGAGGAAACACTGGAACAGGTTGCCCACAGAAGCTGTGGATGCTCCATGTCTGCAAGTGTTTTAGTTCAGGTTGGATGGGGCTCTGAGCCACCTGCTCTACAGGTGCCCCTGCCTAGCAGAGGGTTGAAACTAGATGGTCCCTTCAAAACCATTTTAGGATTCTATGATATCAAGCACTGCATTGGGCTGCACTGCTCCAGCATGCAGGAAAACTAGACTGGCAGTATCTGCAGTTAAATGGGGCCTTGAGGCCCTTTCAGTTAAAAATAAAAAAGTAAAAAAATCTGACACCAAATCTCAGGTACACATGCACCAACTGAAAAAGAGCAGAGGCACCTGGCTAGGTATTTTCAGGACTAGCATACAAGGGACTAAACCATGCACAAAGGAACAGATACTAGAATAATTTATATATACCAAGTGTAATCTATATATGAGTCCATGGATGTGTATTAACTCATGTAGTTTTGTTCATAAAAGGCAGAACCAAGAGATTTTTCTACTCTGGTAGTATTACTAGAACATGCAATTTTGGTCTTTTTCATCACCACTGCTGCTGCTCAGTAATTTGTTCATTTCAAGAGTGCAAAACAGACAAGCATGCATGATGAAATGCTCTTTGAGAGCTGACCACTAGTCTTACAGAGATGACTTTACCATGAATAGCAATTCATTACACTAAGCTGATGACAAAGAGCAGCTTCCACAGCACTAGAGAACTAATTAAGATGTCTAATATTTCTGTCTTCAAGACAGTGTGAAGATATCCTGAAGAATCATCACCACCTCAGAGGAAAATAAACTTCTCTTATTTTTGCCAATGCTCCAACAGTGACACATACCTTCTCGTAGTACTGGATGTTTTTATCTGCCATCCCCATGAGTAGCTGCCTAAAGTCTTGTCTTTTGTTGTTCTGCCATCTCTCCATATCTGCTTTCAGGTCAGCATTGAAACATTCTACTCGGTCTTGACATTTCTCAACATCTGTGGGTACCTGCAGCAAAAGAAAAGAAGATTAAAACTGTCACTGAGTGCTAGATTGCTGAATTAGCTCAAACCTTACTGAGCAAAACCACAGAAGAAAAGGTAGGTTCATTGGGAGTTACCCTGAATAAATTCAGTTATGGCTGCGGGGAGACAAGCCACATTTCTGAACTAGAGAGGATATGAGATTGCTTGATTTGTTCTTTGCTGTTTGAGGTGGTGAGCATTTGTGCTTTCCATCTCCACGCCTGATACAGAGGCAAGTGGAGGAAGCACTTGCTAGAAGCACATGAAGAGGAAAAGCATTTGGTGTAAGTGCTGCGTACCTAGGCTCAGTTCCAAGTGCTCAAACTGAGCAGCTTGGCTACAGCTCCACAGAAAACCTTACTCCTTCCCATTTACAGCTGCACTATGCACTTCCCAATTTACACCAGTGTGTATAATATAATCAACATTTAGGTTTGTCCAGAAAGCTGGATAAGAAACCTCAGTGTTCTCTCTTAAGAACTGGAGAATAAAATTCCTAAGCCTCTAGTTTCTAGCTTCCACTTTTAACCTTACAGGCTGCCTTTCCTAACTGGAAAGCACTCAAGATCATCACTCTGGACTGGCTCATAGACCTTTGGGCTCAACACTGGGCTCGCAATCATACAAAAGCAATGAGAAATGTTGAAGGACAGCCTATTGCAAGCCAGGTGGAGATTTAAATGGATTATGACAGCAATCACTGGCCCAAAGTGCATGCACTCTAGGCCAACTGAGATGGTGTTCTTTGCTCATGTTTTAACTAACGTCATGCATAACACCAGGCAATCACAGGAACAATTTACAAGTGCTTCTTCAAGCAAGAAGCCCATGAACACCTTTCTCTCCCTTCTCCTTATGCTGCATGGTCCACACAGAGAGGAATCCTGTAAGGACATGCAGACTAAGCCCATGACCTCAGAAAAGGAAACCCCTGCATACTGGTACCAACACGAGAAGTGAACTTTTGCTCTGAAAGCTGTGACTTGCACAAAGGCAAAAGGCAAAATGAAGAACATTTGCAGAACTTTTTAGTGGCTCCTCTCATACTTGTACCTTCAGTAAACTCCCTTTTTCTCTGAAGGGTGTTAGAGAAGGAAGAGGATGAACAGACTATGTAAGAAGTTTTTCATAGGTAACTACAGAAAGCTAGAGGTGTGCTACTACCTTGCAGTTTGGCAAGGTGGCCCATCTAGGCAGAAACGTAACAACTGTGCTTCTTCTCCAGGATGTGAATTAGGGGTGATCACTGAAGTATCACATTGACTCAGAGAAGATCTTACATCTGTTCTCCAATAAAGGTGTTTGAGACACAGGAGTTCTTCATACTCATGGGATTTGAGTTCCCCTTTATTCAAACAACTGAACATACACTACAGGCAGCTTGGGAGTTAGTAGATAGCCTTTTCCCCCACCCTGTCTGAGCACTGCTGGCTACAGAATTCACACTGCTACAACTCCAGACAGTTCTCTCATAAGCTTCAGACAAGAACTACCAGGCCTGTGGCTGGATGCTCCCCTCAAGGCAAGTATGCCTTGCATCTTAAGTGCTCTGCTTAATGGGAAAGGCTAGGCTATCAAGAGAAAGGTTCATGAAGTCTGGAAGTCAAACCAAGTAAGATTTCCCAATGCAATTAAGTTAGCTTCTAAGCACTCACCAGCTTGCTGCTGCTTCTTCCAGGATCTGAAACCACAATGAAGCTACACAAAAATCTGTTTTTTCTCACAGCTAGTTCTCCTGCAGGTCAGACTGAGAGGGCTGTATGAATTTAGAGCTACAGGGACAACCCAGTGGTCAGCAAATGGGTCACATATGCTCTCATTAAGGAACAACAGCAATTAACTCCAGCTAAGTCTCCACAGGCATCCTTGTGATCCTCCTCATCCACTCCACATGAAAGCAGTGTCTGCACAACAGCAGTCCTGTTTAGGAGTGCCTTTCCTTACAAAACTGAGGCTTCCCAGAACATTATTTGCAACTCAGTAGTTGAAACAAAATTTTAAGTTAATTAACAGGTTTTAAACACTTTATAAAGTGTTTAAACACTAGTGCAAAGACATCAATGCTGATGGTTTTATCTACTTTTACCAGTAGAGACACTAAATACTAGCTAGCTGGGCAGAAAGCAGACTGGACTTTGGGGAACTTACTACTTTCTTACTGATGTCTCTTCTCAGCTACCAGAATAGCTCAAAAACTCCTCAAACCACAAAACCAAATGTGATAACTGGTTTCAACTCCAACACACTCTTCAATGGCCCATGACTGTTTTAGTGAATCCATTTCAACTTATGAGAGATGTACATGCAGGCAAGAACTGAGTATAAAAGTGTATATTCAGGAGTCTGGTCACCTTACTATATGATAAGAAGTTCTACACATATATCTAATCCTCTTCACATTGATTCTGTTCTCTTAAAAAACTAAGTGTGCCCCACATCTATAATTTTGTGTGGTCATGTACAGATGGCATGTCCACTTTAAAATTCCTCTAGAGGATCAAGTAACAAATCATTCTGAAGCAGAAAAAATCCAGCATATATTAATATAAAATAATAGCGTATGCTATTTCTACTTTCCTAATTCTCTGGAAATAGATACTGTTACAAGGCCTTTTTCCCTCCGTAAATACATATGGTCAACTTCAAGTTCTGCACTGCCAAATTTACTGTTCCCATAGACTAACACACTTCAAACCCTTGAAGCAGACAGAATAAATTAGGTCATCAGAGGTGAACTTCATCTCACCAAAAGGAAACCACATCTCTCCTTCACTCCTATCAGTGACTGAAACAGTTAATGCCTTACACATTCTAAGATCACCAAAAGACTTTTGCAAACTGAAAAGAAGCAGCTGCTCACCCAGCAAAGCCCACTCCTCCCTGAACACTGCCAAAGGACCTTCAGATCAGACAACTGGGTGCCATTGTCCAACTATCCTGGGTGCAGATGCATACCTGAAGCTACAAACTGGATTTCCAGATAAGGGAAGAGGTTAAGAAGAGGCAAATCCTGCAAAGTGGGACAATCCCTCTTATCATGCCAATGTCCTCTCTTTACACAGTAACTCTGTGCATCTAGCCTGGGCTATGCATCTCAAATGTCAGACCACAATGGACCAAGACTGATGCTGACACAACAGGCAGCTGCAACTGTCTTAGGAGATGTCAGAGACTCACGACATGTCTTGTGACACTACCAATTGTAAAACTCCCCGGCCTGGGGAGGTACAAGGTGTTCCCACCTGTGGTGGAAGTGTATAATAACTCATAACATCTCTGAGTTTGGTGGGAGGGCTTACCCCAGCCCCAACAGACCAAGACCCTCCCCTTCTGCAGCGAGTCACAACAACTGCATTGGTGGATTACTGCAAAATCAGCTCCAGCATGGGTCAGAAGTGGGTAAGCAGCACCACCACTGCACTTGCTAGAAACTGAAAGGCTGCAAACACTGCACTAATACTGTGATGCTTCTGTTAAGCACCAAACACATTATGCTTTTGGTGTAAGTTCCAGCATTCTGAGCAGTACTTCCTGACAGACATTTACAGCAGCCCTACAAGCCTTCTGCGAGCTCTAAACAGATGATCTCAATGTGAGAATGACCTAATGACACCAGAAGAGCTTTGTGATGCCAGCCTGGGTATGTGGCCAGCGAGGCCTGGAATGCCCTCTAGTGGAAGAGATTATCAAGTAGCCATAGGCCCTCCTTTCATGATCCAAACCTAGGCTTTTATTCCCCTTTAAGATTTCGTCTGGGGTTATTTTACATAACTTCTACCAAATTGGCAAGTACAAGGAACACAAATGCCATTCCACAATTGTAGCTCATGACCCTCTGCCTGCTTTTAGTTTCCAGCAAATCACAGCCAGGAGACCACATTGAATGTAAGATACGGTGCTAGGCACAGCTCTGAGCTACCAGCTCCTACAGACAAGGGCACTTCCTCCAGGTGCAAAGGATCTGAAAACCACAATATAATATTTTATGAACATGCAAGGAGTTCTATATAATTTGTTCAACTTCATCTTATAAATGACACAAACTACTGACATTACAAAAAAGGTAGAAGAAGTTGCCAAAAAATACACTTATACCCTGGAGAGGAGATGTAGGTCTTCAAAAATTCTCAAGACAGCTATTTAAGTGCTGCATTTTACACAATAATCCCACTGAGATATGAGATCCAAAGGCCTTTTAATAGGTGAGAGATTATCAAAGTTCAGCAATTCCACTGCAACAAGATCTTGAAAAAGTCAAACACCTCAAACCCTCAACTGGTTTGCTGGATATGCTAGATTTAGTTCCCTCCATCCTAGATACAACTTCTTAGAATACCTGCTTATACAAAGCTACACTGAGGAAGTAGAGCACATACCACAGCAGCCAGCAGAGGGGCAGGCAAAAGACCAAAATACAAGAACACTGTAAAACACCTAATACTCCACTATTTGAAGTTCATGAGAGACGCAAGATGAGAAAAATACTAGTTTGCATTTCTATGCTCTCATCCTCTTCAGCTTCTTAGATTTAAAAATATTATGTGAACCTCCTGTAAGATTATTGTACAGTAGTCCTACTGTACAATACTGGGAAGTCCTCCATTAGTTATTAATACAAATGTAAGGGGAACCAAAAACCTCCAAGCAGAGGAAGGGAACAAACCCTGTTGTCATCACCATTTAAAGCTGCAGCCATTTAAGAAAAGTCTCTTGTACCCTGCTTCATGGAGAAGCAGGTGTCAGCATAAGCGTGTCAGTTCACAGCTTTGCTTCTGCGTGGAGCCCAGCCAAAACCTGTCACCTAGTGACACTTGATGTGTCTGGTCAGCATCACAGAGGTAGAGCTCCCTAGCAGAAGTGGCAAAATTTGCAGTCTTCACAATCAAAACCAGTGTCCTAGAATAATACAGTTCCACAGTGCCAGGGATAGGACCTTAACTCAACTAGCTGACATATTGCTAGGTCACCAGGGACTGTTCTACCACTGCTTCAGTCCCTGCTACTAAACACTCCAACCGATTACTGGCTGTTAAGGTGTTACAGAGTCACCCTGCTCTGAACTGTGGAAGATCAGTAGCACAGAAGTTGCTAGACAAGTTATATACATTCATATCTAGGTCTTTATTTCACACCAGCTTGACAACAACAAACTTCTGTTCTGCTAGAAACTGCTTATATTGCAAAAAAGCCACCAGACCCAAAAAAAGCAAGTTCCACTTCTCCATTCTTTTCAGGAAGCAGTGTAAGTGTAAGCTGATTTTGTAGAGTAAGTTGAAGTGCTAACCTTTGGACGGTCTTCCTTTTTCAAGGCTACTGCTTCCAGTTTTGCTTCATACTCTGCTTGAACTTGGTCTCTCTTCTTCAACACATTCTGTGGGCAAGAGAAAAGACAGATGTGAAAGAGATCCTCTTGATCCTTCCCCCAGCCTGCAAGAAACTCCAAAGTGACACAGGTTAAGTGCAAATTCAGTCCAAAGTCAGACTTTCAGATTTACTTTGTCCTATCTTACAGTATTTAGGGAGTAGTTTTTAATAACAAAGAGTCCTTGCTCTCCAGAAGCTGGCAGGGTCAGATAAAATTCAACATTTGGACAAGCCTGCAAGACAGAAGCTGCCATGAAACCACTAACATAACCCTGACTAAGTAAATTTAATTCATCAGTTCACCTATTATTACCATGAACAGGATATAAACAAAAGCATCAAAGCTGACAATGACTCAGCTTTGATATCCTCAAGCAGCAGACAGACAACAGCACTGGCAAGATACAGGAAAATCACCACAGAAAGTATTACATCTCCCTTTTCACTTACAAAGAATCTTCAGAATCCTTTATAGCAAGCTGTCACATTCTCATGTTAGAACAAAAGTAAGTTTTTATTTTAGATCAGTTTAGGAGGCTTGGTTGTTGGTTTAATTTTTTTTAAAAAATGAAAATTACAAAAAGCACAATTTACATGAAAAGCAATGAACTGACCAAGAGAGTTTCACAAGCAGTAAACACGTTCTTGGCAGAGTACTCTCAGAATACAGAGCCAAAGACCTTGTACTACATCCACAGGAGCTCCACTAAGGTAATACCACAGTCTTACAATTTGAAAACAACCACAGAAATTAGTCTTTTTAGGAATATATTACTAAAAAATAAGCAAGTTTGTGTCAGCAAGAGCAGGCAACTTACTACTTCAGTCTTCACAAAGAACTGGTATTTTTAATTACTCAATTGATGCAAAGTTATTATTAAAAATGCTCAGAGGGAAGTCAGCCAACACTCACTGCTGAGGCACCTGTAAATCTGCAATTCTCTTGCAGCTAACTTTGAGTCTCCCCTGTTGCCACCCAGAAGGAATTACCCTATTAGGACGAAGTGATAACTAGTCATTTTAACAGTTTCTGACATGGCTAGTAAAGTAGGACTAGCCGTGTGCACTGCTGCCTCCAGCAATCTGTTTTCAAAAGAGTAGTCAGAGCTCTAAGAGCCAATCTAGCCAAGATCTGTTTCCTAATTAAAGAAATACAGATCCTGTATCTACTTATCATCATCTTCCCCCTCTTCCCTCTTAAGCCAAGAAAAGGTCAACAGTGCAGTTGCTCTAGATGAGAGCCAGGAGTGTTGCAATCAACACTCTTATAAAAGCTCAATCCATGATAAATGGGAGTAACACCCCATCCGCAAAGTTTAGGCAACAAAAAGAGGGCAAACCTGAAAAATTCACCTTCAACCCCTTAATCTTCCCTTTTGTCTCCACAGGGATGAATCAAGCACGCCACTGAATGTGTTTGCTTGTCAAACCATAACATTCCCCTTCTTTCTGAAATCTATGCAACTATGTGGGATGGCCTTAAGTGGTTGAGGTTACCAATGCAACAAAGGTCTGAGAGATTTAACATGTATCTCTACTTTGTACTGCCACTTGAACCCAGTCAGCTTAACTTTCTTCTCTGAAAAAGCAACCGCCTCCAGCAATTGCATTCTGCCTTCAGAAGCCTGGAGTGCACACGGGAAGCTGAACCTGTAGCAGGAATAGCCAATGATTAGCAATTACAGGCAAACGATTCAAAGGACAGGTGTCTTGTTTCTCCTTAAGTGTTTATGTCCATCCACTGTGGACCATTAACAATATGCTTCTGAATACAGTTTTAAGTATCCAACACTGGCCGACCTGTAAGCGATGAGAAAACTACTGTCCTCCCTTTCACTTGTACAACGTTTTCCTCTGGCACCTCCACACAATCTCCTCTCAGTTGCAGATCGATGCACTAATGCTTTAGCAGCAGTTATGAAAAACTCTGCATCAAGTATCCCCAAACTTAACTAGTGGAAGTTTTGCATGGACTGTGCTAAGGCCTCAGAGACAAAAAAATAAAATAAAATAAAAAAATTAAAAAAACAAAACAAACAAACAAAAACAAAACCCAAAAACAAACAAAACAAAAAAAAAACCAAAACCAAAAACAACAAAAAACCAAACCAAACAAAAAAAACAACAAACAAACTTGAAAGAAATCAACACCAAACAGAAAAAAACTCATCCAGCACACTACAGTTATTTCAGGACAGAACTAAATCGCTGGTCCCTGAACAAGAAAGACTTAGCTCAGTTTCAACAAGGCAGGTCCTCCTCCATTTTGTATTTAGTTGAAACATTCCACTTTGGCCCATATTTCTAAAGAGCTTCAGGAGTTTGCCATCAGCCTTCTTTCCCCAATTTCAATTCCAATCCTATTTGCACACCACATAGCTTCGTACTGTGACTAGACTTCACAAGAGGATCTCTGTTCGCTGCCTGCCTTTACAGACAGTTATCTATTAATGTAGTGGTTGCTTTAAACATGCATTAAAAGTAATGTCCAAACACACCACTGGGGATAGCATCATCTGATAAGTCTGTCTAGCAGTGCTAAGCATACAGAGTTTATATAAGATTTTAATATCAGCCCTGAATTATGTAGAGTAGAGTCCATCCTCTGCACATGCCTCCCTGGGGAAGACCAGTGGACAGCAAAAAATGTGGCACCACGTTTGCTGAAAAGGGCCTCACTGCACCAGGATTCGAAATGTCCACTTGCCATGTCATAAAATCATAGAATACCAGGTTGGAAGGAACCTCAATAATCATCTGGTCCAACCTTTCTTGGCAAAAGCACAGTCTAGACAAGACAGCTCAGCTTGATCTTGTCCAGCTGGATCTTAGAAGTGTCCAATGTTAGGGAATCCACCACTTCCCTGGGGAGATTATTCCAAAGGCTGATCTCATTGTGAAAATTCTCCTAGTGTGTGCAATCAGAATGTCCCTGGGAGTAACCAGGGACATTCCCCTTGTGAAAAAGGAGCTTCCATCATCTTCGTAGTCACTTCTTAAATACTGGAACATGGTGATAAGATCTCCCCTAAGCCTTCTTTTCTCAAGGCTGAACAAACCCAGCTCTCTCAGCCTTTCCTCACATGGCAGGCTTCCCAGTCCCTTGATCATCTTTGTAGCCTTTCTCTGGACCCTCTTCAACTAATTCACTTTTTTTTTTTTTTACAGCAGGGACAAAAAGTGAACACAGTATTCCAGGTGTGGCCTGAGAAGCACTGAGTAGAGTGACTAATTTGGAAAAGGTCTCTCCTAGACACTACCAGCACACAGTTTATCTCAAGCCTACACCATCGGCCTCTCTCCACTTCCACAAATCTTCCAAACAAACCCAGAGACAGGGCTTCCCTCAAATCTGCCAATATTTGATTCAACCAGAACCACTGGGCTTTGCCCCTGTATATCCAGTTCTCTCAGGCTGTCCCCTTCAGGTACAACAATGCTCCTGAACACACTGAGGTCTCTTCACCTCTAACCTGACAGTTCTTACTCTTGAGGGACATTCAGCCAGCTAGAGACTGCTCTACAGATCAGGTTCCCATACCTACACCAGGGGTACAGTGTGCAACAGAGAAAGCTATCAAGGTTGCACTGAACTCCTAGTACCTAAAGACTTGCTGTCACCAAGTACCCTGTCCAAAAGATGTGGTCTGAAAGACCAAAACAGACTTCCATTTCACAAGCAGTCCTCACAGGAGCTGATGAAGACGACTGCACTACTTGTGAAGAGGACAGCTCTTTCAGCAGAATGTCTCCTGCGCTCCAAGCGTAACCTCCTTTTAGTTACTTACTTGGTGTTAACGGATTCTGCAAAGACAGTTCAGTAGCTGCTCACTGCAGAAACAGCAACAGACTGGTACTTTCTAGCAGAAGAAAACTGTACTTCATAGGATCTGAGACAGTTCAGTTTTGCCATTTGAGAAGGAAGGAAAATAGGAACAGTCTGTCTGGCTAACAGTAGTTTTTATTTTTGATTTTCAAATTTTCAGACAGAGTAAAGCCAGTAGGATGCCCAAGCTGGACACTAAACAGCATAATCCTTTATGGCACTAGAAAGTCAAGTCATCAGTCTAAAATGTTTAAGTTAAAAAGCAAGGGTTTCTTTAGTTGAAGAGGTACTTTAGGCAGTTAAGCACCACTTACTACAGTCAGGCTACCTGCTGGCCTTTTAGAGCCCCTTTAGAATGGCACTGTCTCCAAGCCAACAGTTAACTAGACACAAATTTTTAATGCTATTCTGTCTATGGTAAGTGGTGCTTAACTGCCCAAAGTACCTCTTCAGCTAAAGAAACCCTTGCTTTCTAGCTTAAAAAAATTTCCCCTCCTACATTTGTGAAAAGCACCTTTCACATATCAGCCTGACCCTTCAGATGCCATCTTTGGTAGGCCAAGGCATTTTTAGCATCAAAAGCCAGATGTTCTGAGTTAAAAGCTTTAATCACTAGACTTACTCTCTGTTTATTTGTAAGCACATCCCACCCACCTCCCATTCTACAGTCCCAACATCCTGAGACAAGGCTTCCTACAGCTCACACTGTTCGGCAACACTTTGTTGTCAATAGACTCGTAAAGAAAATACGTCTTGGATATGCTGGGGTCAAAACTCTAGTGACAAAAGCAAAAAGTATACTGAGGGAATTTGTGAAAAGCCTTCTGCAAGAACACTTCAGCTATATAAGAGACATACAATTAAACATCTGAAGCTGGGAAAAGAAAGCTGCAAATTATCTGTTTCAATTCTCAGTTTGAGAAGTATAGGATGAGACTAAGATTAAGAAAGAGAAATTCTATCATATTCAGACTCTAAGTTTACAAGATCTGCATATCTTTACAAGGAGTGCATATCACAACCTTGGCACAGTTGTTCCAAGTGGAAAGTCTTCAGAAGGAACTTGTCTGTTAGTACCCTATAGAGGGACAGCTATTGTACCATGGGCATATAGTGAAAGGCTCTAACAGACGAACTAAAGTCTTTGGTTTCATTTCCCAGTGCAGTTTACTCAGTAGTTCTTTCCCCCATTCAATGTGATTGATTACCAATGCTCCTTAACTTGAAAGGAACAAAACCCACATTGAGGTAGGTTTTATTACTTTTGCATAAGCATCAAATTCTTAAGAGAGATTAAGAGTCACAGAATACCATCTTTAAGCAGTTAGTTGGTATGCAGAATTTAACTTTACAACATCCTGTCTAGGGTTTAGTGATGACAGAGGAAGTAGTGCCTGTCATTTGAACACACGGTTCTGAAAGGAGGCACCCAACTCTGCTACATACAAGTGACAGAAGCTGCTAATGCTGTCTATTCTGTAGGGCCAGGCACTGACCCTGTACTGAAGAGCTGAGGATGACTGACTTTCCGTGACTTCAAGGAAAGATTCTAGGCAGCCACAGGATGTCTCCTATAGAATACTACCTGCCACTCTGATGAAGGAACAGCTCTCCAACACTTTGTGTGCACCCTTGCAATACTGATCTTAGCTTGACTGAATAGCAGAGTAGACCAATAATGCTACTTATTGCTATTAAACACACCTAGTTTTGTTTTGACTATGGAAACATCCTCCTACTTAATGTATTATTTACTTCCACGCTTTTCCCACAGCATTTCTCACTGTTAAAAAGAATAAACCCACTGATACATCATGCCAGGCAAACACAATGACAATGCTCTCTGCCACAGGGCTCTCTCTACCTTCATTGACTCAGCATACAATATATATTCCCTAAGCACAGGCAGGAAGTCTTCTGTCATGTCTTCACTGAGTTCTTCAAGAGCTGTGCAACAATTTCCAATACAGGCAGACACCCCTTCCAGTGGCTCTGACAGCTCAACCTCCAGCCCTCCCCAGGTTGAATAAACAGGTCCATATTCTCGTAGTTCCACCAAGTATTCTGCAAGAAGCAGATGGAAAAATAGATTAACAGAGTATGAGCAAGGCACAAAGATGTGCAAACACTGATACCAAACAGGAGAAATTACACATCAAGTTTGACTAACCCCAGAAGGAGTCAAGACTTGTGTTGTGTTGGCACCTTAATAGACAGAGCTCTATGGCTGCATGGGTGTCAGGTTCAAGTTGCCTCCTTCTTAGCTGGCCATTTCTACAGACCTCCAATACAAAGACTCTTGCACCTTTGCGGTAGTTGAAGTCAGTTTTTTAAACATATGTAAAACTTGGTTCTGCCAAGACAGACTGTAAAGGTTATCTTCGTCTAGAAATTCCATCTGTACTCCTCCAGATGGAATGTACAGGTTTTTCCACCTTCCAAAAGTCTATCAAAAAATAATTCTAGTAAGACAGTAGGTTGGTATAAAAAGAGCAACTTCAGAAAATACTTGGTGAGTTGGGCTAATATAAGAATACTGTGTTAGGCTTTGGGTCTGTTTTAGATCTGGAAGGGGCATTAGGTTTTGCTCTGTGTCTGACATTACAGACCAGAATCATCAACGCAAATTGTCTTGATCAATGCTATCAACTGGAATAAGAGACAGAACATTCAGACTGAAGAAGTATTATGATAGAGCACCTTGTGTCCTTACCTAATTGTTCTTTGATGATGCGCTGTGCTATTCTGTCAATGGTACCAAGCTTTAGAGAGAATGTGTCTAGATAATCCCCAATGGCTGCAAACTCCAGTGGCCGACTTCTTAATTTGTAGCCTCCTGTAACATATTTGACAGATTCCCCCACCTTTGACAGCAATGCCATTCCTTGCTTTTTGTAGGCATTAAGATCCTAGGAATTAAAAAACAAAACAGAACATGTTTATAAATATTTCGCTTCCACGTTGGAAGATTAATGCAATGAAGTCAAGATCAAATCTTGTGAAGGCAAGAGATTACATATGACACGTAGCCTTGGACAAAGACTCGCTTTGTACAAGCTGCACAGCTGAGCACAGCTTCAAAACTACCCCTAGATGGAGATAAACTATCCAGGAGAATGGTATGAAGTACAGTATAAATAACTAAGTAGTTCAACTTTGCACATGGCCAGACTTGCCCATGTTCCTGTACTGCCACCAGGGAAGTAGCCACATTAACAGCTCTGGTTCCACCAAAACAGCTCATATCCTTCATCCACACATATTCCTAAGTTATAGCCCACAGCACCAGTATTATGCAAATGCACCAGCTGGCTCTGATGACCTAGTACAGAGCTACATACCGCATGCCCATTCAGTAACCAGCCCCTTCACACCAGCTGTGTGTTCAGATAGGAGCAGGCAAAGACTGCACACAGAAAAAGTACAGCAAGACAGACTGCAGCTCAGGCTGGGTCAGATGTAGCTACATTGCCTGCACAGAAAGTCTGAGCTTCCTTGCTACCGCTTTACACATTTGCACAAACCAACATTCAGATAACCTATGCTAACAAGGCTGTTTGCCTACAATCTTCAAGGGATTTCACCTTAACAGTACATCAGAAAAAAATGGTTTTAGTAAGAAAAAACGCTGTCCATTTTGCATGGACTGACTCCTTCCAGCAGGGGTCAGTATTCAACACCTCAAAACAGGAGCTGTAACTAGGTTATCCTATACAGCCTGGGGAAGAGATGTGTTCAAATCAAGTAGACCTACAGAGATCAAGAATTCAGACATGCTACTAGGGACTACACTAGAAGCCTTCTTCAAAAAAAGAAAAAGCCCCACCAAAAACAAACAAACAAAACACAAAACAAAAAAACCCACACCAAAACCCAAACAAAACCAGCAGCCATCTTCAAAACATGTACTATGGTATTCTTTCCAAGTACTTAACATAAGTCAAACATAGGCCTGATTAGGAGAACCTGATATCTTAGCAGCTACTATAATTTTAACTTATGTTTGCATTTAAATGCAGTAGTTCCTTGACTCTTGCTTTCCATATGACCTAAGCACTACCTGCAAGCAGGCACCAGAAAAAGACATTTGAACTCAAAATTACTCACTCACTCTCTCAAGCATTCTGGTGTGTCACTGGTTCAAGCAGGGAATCTGAAAAAAAGCCTGGTTTCTCTTTTTCAATCAGGAGGTGATCTTATAGACTTTCTGTAGTAACTAAAGTCTGGAGTCCGAGCACACTGAACTGACACCTCACTGTTCCAACAGAGCAAGTTCAAACACTAGAGACAGTCACAAGAACACGTGCCTTGTCCCCCCAACTCCCAGCATGCTCTGTTGTCTCTAGGCAAGCTCTGCTCAGAGCTGAGAACAAAGCCCTTGACATTCATTTTACAGGGGTGGGAGAAGACTGAGCAGCTGAGAAAGCTGCATCATGCTTGGACAGCTGAAAAAAAGAACACAGTTATCTGACATTTAACTATCACGATGCTAAAACAATTCTGCTTTTCTGGCTTATTTCAGCAGTTAAGTTCACCATGGAGGTGAAATAAAAGAGCACTGGAGATTGATTCTCACACTAACAGCAAGCAGAGCATGAGCCTGAGGTGAGCTCAAATTAAACACCATATTTGAGTGAGCTAGATTAATGTGATATTGGAAAGATGTGCTTTTATACCCCTCCTCACCTATCCGGTCAAACCCAAGCATAACTGCAGGTCCTCATAGTCTCATTTGAAATGCAGTTCTAAAGAAAGCCAAAGAAAATTGCACCATTGCTGCATGAGTCATGCAGAAGATGAGCATGAAATTGTTGACTGAGAACAAATGAGAATGAGGCCTCCATGCTTAGTTTTGAGGGCAGCAAGTGCAACCACTATAAAAAGCACAGATAAGAAAAAAGCCAAGAAATTTGCAAGCTTTTGTGCAAGAGAGACCTCTCTTCCTCCCTGGCTTCCCTCCTCCCCAGAAGAGGATTGTGAAGTCTACAATTTTCTAGATTTTGAACATCTTTGGAATAATGTTGTATGTTCTAGGCACAAAACAAGCAAGTCTGGAGAATTTGTCCATCTGCAGACCAGATTCCTCTTCTCTCCAAGCAAAGGGAATCCACTCAGTTGTCAGGGTTCCGTCACACACAATATTCAGGGTTCCCAGCAACTCTCTGGCATTTTAGGGGAAGTTCTGATCTGCGCATCTAGTTTTATTAATGCCTTTTTACCTTCACTTCAGAAGTGACTGCAAAGGTTCCTGGGTTTTTGTCCCTGTCAAGTTCTGTGTTTGGAAGTTACTGGCTTACCTTGGCTGTGAGAAAGACGTTGAAGTGCTCATTGAAAGAAAGCACTGGGTGATCAGTTATTCTCTTCAAGAACTTGTCTAATGCTTTCCTCCTTGTCTCCACGAACTCTTCAGAAAAGCGATCAACAACACCCTTCACCACAAATTTCTCAGGAAGAGGCTGTCAGAGATAAGCAAAATGCACAAGATTCAAAAGATCGAAAACTTGCTTCTGCTATTTGGAAACAAAGCAATCAAGCACCAGTCTAACAGGAACTGAAATGCTGTGTTTGCTAACAGGAACCAAAATGTCGCGTTTGCTAACAGGAACCATCCATCAGATGGGATGCAAGTCATGTTCAGAATTATCTTTTAGCTGGTCTGGTTTAATGCTAGCAATTCTACTGAGTGGCTTTAGCTAAGGGTCACACCAGGGAAGCCCATACAGTACTCACACAAAGTACTTGTAGCATAGCTTAGATCGTTCCCTCTACTGCTATCTGTGTTCAAGATGCAGCTCTAAAGAGATGTCAGAAGAGCTACACACTATTCACAACAGCAGCGTGCACATCCCCCCACCACCCAATGCTAAGGCAAGGCTGCCTAGAGCAGATAAACTCAGAAAATTTGACAATTCTATTTACTCTCCCCTCTCCCTCTCTGAACAATTCAGAGCTTTTGAATAGGGCCCTCCTGTAAAAGGCTGATAATCTTAGTGAGAGCACCACATTGAGCAGAGACAGACCAGCAGGCTTGACACAGCAAGTGCCTGAGTAGCCCAGGCTGAATCCTTTCTGAAGTACAGGCACACCTGGTCACCTCTTAGAGACAACTTTCCTGAGTATGCTTCTGTAAGTGACAACGGGCTGACAACATATCCACTCTTGCATCTTACTATTTTGAGTCCATCCGTTCTTTTCTGCAGTTCAGCTTAACATATAAGCCTGAGGCTGTTACACTTAAATGACAGACTTCAAAGTACCACTTCAGATGGAAGGTAACTCTTTAAGCTTAAGAGTGGTTCTACCATTAGATCTGCTTTTGTTCTGTCCAGACAGCATGGAATTTATGATTAGCATCAGTTTTTAAACTGTGCTTTGCCTTTCACTCTCTGTGAAGCAGTCCATCCAGACAATCTGCTTACTCTTAGGCTAGGAATGACAGTCATTTTCACCCAATTCAGGAAATAGGATTCTCCTCTGCATAGAGTCTGTCACCTAAAATCTGTGACAAAAATAATTCAAGAAAAAAGAAAATCTGCATACACATCCTTTCGCACCATATCCCAGATGACGCGGGACGTATATGAAGATTGTACCTCCTGAAAAGCACAGTCAGCATGACTTAGCTGCAACACAGCTAAATGTATTTAGTTCTTATAATTAAGACTTATCTTATTATGCTTAGCATTCAGATCAATCATGCTAATTAAACCATTGTAAGGCACACTATCATTAGACTTCAGAAGTATAGTGCTTAGTGCATTAGTTTTCAGGTAGGAAGGAACTCTTTTCCTTTGCTTTGTAAATTTTAGCTGGGACTCTAGGAAGTCACTGCCTCAGCGCCACATGCAGGAAGAAAAGGACAAACGGAAAGACTAGTTTAAAGAATCCTAGTTCAACCAAACACATTCAGTGTGGCACTGATGTCTGAGCATTTGAGACCCACAGAAGAGTGCACCTCTATTACAAAGCCTTCTGTCATTTAACCTGGTTTCAGCTACAGCAGCAGTCACAGTCCTTTCGATTTTAGGCCTTTGGAGGGCCATCCCAAATCTGGATGTACAGTCAGTACACACAGCTAGTAACCAATATCCTGTTTTAACTGTGTGTGTAAATTATCTACCTTATTGTCTTCCACATTAATAGTCTATTTTTCCCTACTGAGATACATGTGAACAGAGTTCACTGCAGTCAGAAATGTCTTCAAGTATCCAATAGGGCAGCACATCCTTATACCTCCAGATTTTCTAGAAGAAAGGTAATTAAGATATTTCCTTACTCTGCAGCCAGTTCACATCCAGTATTAGAGCTACTCATGCCAAGTTTGCTGTTCTGTGTGCAACGAATTCCAGGTCACGGCAAAGTAGCTTGATTCCCTGGCTGTGACTCACCTTCTGCTACTAGACTATTATTTATTGCCTTGCAGCCTTCAGGCAGGACTGGCAGCCTGTTAGCAAGAATCTGTAAAACTTAACTGTGATAGTTCCAGCTGTTCAGAGAACAGGAAGCAAGAAAAGACGGTATGGGCAGCTAACACATTGCATGTCTCCATCTTAGTTTCCCAAGCTCACTGTCTTTCTTTTCCCTACCCCTCAGTAAGCATATTTTCTGCCAGTTAGTGGTGTCACATGATTTTGTAAAGTACCCCTTACCTTTGAGAGAATCAGCTATTATTTCACTTAGAGGCAAGTCCCAGAGTAATTAAGGACTTAAACAGCACTCTAAGCCAGAGCAACCTAACTGAATACTTCTCACACAGCCTAGTCCTTGCTGAGGGAGGGAGACCAGAGAAAATGCCACCACACCACTCACCTCAATCCTAGACGGGCAAGCTAAAGTATGCCACTAGCATTGCTATTTCCTGTCAATTCCCCTCCAATGGGTCTTTTTTAATTTCTTTGTTCAAAAGAGCTGAAAGCGGTGATCTCACAGGTTTCCTACCTATTCACATCTTCTACAGCACAAAAAACATATCAGATAAGGTAGTATCAACCTCCTCACATCAAATAAGGTGGTCAGACTGCCGGTTTCGGCAAAAAGGGGTGCAGTAGTTTAGCTAATCTCATTAATAAACTTCTGCCTACTGAAAGCATGCAACAGCTACCAAGCCAGAGGCTGAGGTTTCTAAATCTGTGCTATCAAATGTCAGCCCTATTAAGTGCTAGCACAAATAGTTTTAAATTGTTCTCTAAAACCAGCTCAAAAGGCCATCTTGAAAACCAAGAATGTGAAGTACCTGTGTGGCTTTGCATAATCCTCAGCTGCTCTGAAATACAGAAGTAAAAACTGAGCAAACAGATGAAGTGCATTCCATTTATGCCACAACAAATTTAGTCACCACACATATTGCCCTACAAGAGGCTGCCAAAGCTCACCTCTCAGGTGTGCCACCTCAGAAAAGTCTTAAGCTTCATAATCAGTCAAGAATGGGAAGCTCTTCCCACTCCACTGTAAGACAATAAAGTACCATATTTAAATCTAAATACTCAAAGAGAATGAAGTACTGTTTTTAAAATCTAGAGACAAATCACCCAAATATCACCCTTGGAAGACAAATGTAGAACTGTCCTTAATAGCAGACTCTTGCTTACTACCTACGGGAATGAGATGCGTTGGCTGAGACTCTTCCAGCTTGTTTCTCAACCAGTCGAAGTCTTGGTATCGCCGACGGACAGAATACTCCGGCAAATCAAACTCTGCTCGCGTAGTCTGGAAAAGAACAGAATACACTTAGTGTACACCAAACCTCTCACTTCAGAGCTTAGCAGCAAATGCAGTACAGCTGTCCCCAGCAAGGGTGAAGGCAGACAAGCCTTGCAGGGGGTCTTCATCCCCAAAATTGTGCAGCCAGCATAAGAGAAAGATCCTCTGGACTTTCAAGCAGTGGAAATGCCAGCAATATGAAAAATGATTACTTCAAGCTGATGTGTTAAGATCTATTTGTACTTCATTACATGTTCTGCTCAGATAAACTTTAAGGGAGAAGTCTGTAGAGCAGACAGAACCACATCACTCTCTTGGCAGTTACAAGATTGCAAGGAAGATTGTGTGACATATTCATTCCCAGAAGAAGATTACTTTAACTATCAAGACGCAAAAGCAAAGATATTTATTGACTTTGTTTATTCTATGACATGAATTATCCACCGGTGAGAAAGCATTTCACCATTGCCCCCTGTCAAGCAATGGGCTTATCACACTCCTTCAAGTCTAAAAGATTAGAACATAAGCCACTGCGAGGTTTGATGAAGGATGATTTTTGTTGGTTTCCAAGAGGAAGAAACCAGTCTGTTTACATTAAGTTTGTGTATGCCTGATTAGATATATCAGTACATTAAAATAAATCTTTTAAAGTTTTATTCTTTAGGGCAAGAAGTCAAAGTTGCCATTATAAGTTTGAGGAAAAAAGTAAGTATACAGAGAAACTGCTGGCAAGTGTTTTATCCAGTCCTTGAGCAGTCCACGGCCTGGAAGGCTGACTGCCTGGGGCTGCTTGCCCAGCAAATACTGTAACTGCCTAAAAGCACTTGAGAAACTGTGTACCAACTAGGAGCATCTGCTAAAGAGCCTGGCAGCAGTAGCCCTGATTAGAATGTAAGATGGCCCTTATTGTTATGTCCCATAAAGGGGTATACTTAAGTTACTTGCAGCATCAAGACCATCTTGCAATGAATAGTCTGTACACTATATGTCTACAGTGAGACACCAAAACCAGCACATTCTGGGGAACACACCAGCAACTGCAGCTTTGAATGACCTTTGAGACCAGCACTTGGTTTTGCTACTCCTACCCACTACGGTTGCCTGATAAATTCCAGGAGACACTCGGCATTTACTTCCAGACCGAGAGCAACTGCCACATATTTGCAGAAAGTCAAGTAGCAGATTTTAAATGCAATCCATCTCTTCACTTGCTTTCTGAATAGCTCAAACTCTCCAGTTACTGCACTTTACTCCCACCAATCACCACTAGGGATCCTGTATGAGTTCTAGACCAGAAATCTCTTTCTAGGGGGAAGTTGGCAGCCTTAACACACTAATAACAGCACACTAGCTCTAGTATACTATAAACAGCACGTTAATGTGTTATTACCTATGTTACTACCTTCTAGAAGAGGAAGGCATAAGAGACAGAAAAGAAGAAATCAGGATAAGTTCCTTCCTCCTTTGACCTACTAGCTACGGTTAAGCGATATACAGGTTAGTCCTTGGACTAATATAACAAATGCTCAACAACAGAGCTGTTGTGTTTGTAGATGAGGGGCTACCAAGATGTAGATATCCACTGCAGATTTGTGCTTTACTCAGCCACACCTCAGAGTAACACCAGCTTATTTAATGTGTTAGAGTGCCACACTAGCAATTAAACTTCTAAGACTTCATATGAATCATTTTCACTTGTTTGGAGTAACAGACTGAATGGCATTAGGGTGGAACAAGATAATTCATGCACATACAGACAGCCCTCATCCCTTTAGAAGAAGGGACAGCTTTTGTGAACTGGCAGTCACTGCCCAAAAGGCTCTTAAAAGAGACCTGACGGGGAATGGACGAATGAGAATGAGTACACACTACAGTATCTTATCGTGTAGCATGAGGAAGAAGGTAAAGTCTCCCATCTGTTAGCACTGAGAAGCTTAATAACCAGTATTCTGCTAACAGTTAAGGAAATCTGTAGAGGTACTCTCTAGGAGTAGGAAACCAGGGTAAGTTCCAGTGCACAAACCTTACATTAGTTACTGTTCACCTCTAGCAAACTGGTCCTACTGCCTTTACTGCACAAGCAGAATTGCAAAGTTTTCCATATATCCAGTTCCGTTCCTCAGAGGGAGGCAGATGAAAATACAGCAACACCAGCATTTCAAGTGTTTACTGTACAGACTGTCAAATTTAGACAGCAAATAAGCTTTTCAAAGATTATTTGGGCAGAACAAAGGCCCTTCAAGGTTTTAACGACACCTCACTAACACTGAAAGTATTTGGATCTCAGATCAAACTGTTATTAGCTTAGCACAAGTAATTTTTTCCAGACTGCACACAAAAGGGAGGAGGGTCTTGCCACCATCCAGGGACAGTGTGAAGAACACATTCAGTGCAAATAGCTCCAGGTGCAGCTACAGCCACAGCTGCAGGTTGAGCTCTGAGTGGTAGGAGCGCCAGGCAGCAGGCTGTGAAGTGGCACCAAACTTTACACAACAAAGGGCCTTGCCAGAGGACCAGACACAGAGACACAGTAGGGGCCATCGACCCAGAGGATCTCACATGTGTAGACTGTGGAGGTATAAAAGCCCAGGGTTCCTTAGTTCTGGGTCCCTCCTCGGAGGCACCAGCTCAAGCTGTTATTTTGTTATTGCACCATGATTAAACTATTTTAAGGATCCAGACATCTGAGACTCGGCTATGGGAAACTTGGGCCAAACTGCTATGGAAAACTTGGTCTGACAGTGTGAGTGTGGGGTGCCTACATGGGAAGGGGCCTCAGTTCCAGCTCAAGTGGATCAAGTGTGACTGCCAGAGTGGCTCCTGGGTAGTCAGACAGAGAAGTTTCCTTAATAGGCAGCAAGTGAAATGTCTATGTTTTAGACACAGTTCAACTCCTCCTGCTTCCTTAGCGGGATTGGATTCATAAATCTCATGTCACAAGGACATACGCCTCTGCCAAAGGAAGCTGAGAAACTTATATGGCAGACCTCACCCTCCCAAAAAATAATGGGCAAGACATTTGCAGGAATTTATTGAAGATTCCAGCACAGTTCCACTAAGTCAGCACTGCAGCATTCTGGGCTCAGTTTTACTTGTTGGAAAGTAGGCAGTCTTACAGACACTTTTACCTCTGTTGCTGGAATAGTTTTGACTTGACGAAGTATTAAGGCAATCACCAGGTCTCTGTCTTGTGTAAAATCCTTGTCTTTACTAGGAAAGACTTAGGAGCCAAACCTAAAGCTAGTCTGTGATGATTATATGAAAGTACTTTTGTACCCTAGTTCTAGTCTCTTACTCACTAGACTCGATTGCAGATTCCCCTCCGTATTACTATTTAAGTTTGGGGCAAAATCTTCAACTAGAAAACGGAAGAATGGCAGAGGGTGGAAGGGAGCAAGGCTTGTCTTCTTAGCACTTCAGCATTTCTTTTGCCTTGAATAATTTAGCCTGTTTGAAAAAGAGAACACATCCCCTTCACCTGCTCCTCTCTAGGAAATCAGGCTGTTTCATGTGCCCAAGTAATCTAACCAATGTGTGCACTGGAAATATGAGGAAAAAGACAGGAAAGCAAAAACAAGACTCCAATATTGATTACTTAGAAAGACTCTCCCTTCAAGCCTGCAGAGCAACTGCATGACTCTGAGCAATGGCACTCAGCTGTTTAGACCTCCGTGGGAAAAGGCACAGAAAAAGGCCTTGCCATCCTAGAAAGTACAGTGAAAGTGAAGTTAGAAATACACTTACTTATGTTTCCCTCAGGAGATGTGACTACACAAAGGCAAGCTTCCTTTCCCCCCTCCCTCCCCACAAAGATCTGCTCGACCAAATCCCCCTAGAATGCACAGCAGTCTATCAGAAGAACACAAGGATGAATCATCAAGAACACCCAAGACACTTCAATCATCACAGTCAAGACCAATTAAGTTCCAGTGCAAGTTCCACCCACCTTTATCGGTTTCACTAGCTCCCTGTATAAGGAAACTGCTGTTAGCAAGAAGAAAACAGGATATGAAAGTGTCAAGACAGTCAGTTCTGAATCACTGTCCTTGTTAGTTTGAGGATTCCAATTACATTCTGTAAATGTGTTTGTCCAGAAGACAGGCTGGGGAATGCTACCTGGCTCTTACTAGGAAGCTGTGAAAATAAGGACACAACAAGATGGAGTAAAATCTTAAGTTTTCTTCTCAGCTCCTCTGCAAGCCACTGTTTTGTCCCTTCCTCAGTCACTACCACCTGCTGACAAAGGTATCAGCAGATGAAAAGTCTAGGGCATAATGCAAGACTTCTCTTTTTTTTTTTGCTGTTACGATGAATACAAACAAGACTGTGGTCAGTCTTCACTCTTCCGCACGCTGGAGTCCTGTCACAGTCACAAGCACACATTACAGCATCAGCTTCCCCTCTTGCACCTCAAGCTGCTGATTTTCAGTCTTCAGTCTAACTCATTCTATGACCTTTATTTACCCAGATCTTTGAGGTTCCAGAAGCATTCTTCAGTGGCAAAAGAAAAACAGAACAGCCATCCCTGCCTCCTCATTCAGAGGCACCAGAGAGAGACCCTTTAGAGGTCTTGAACCCCTTTCCTGCAAGGCTGCAAGGGAGGTGTTGGGGTGGTTCCTCATCGCCCTCTACAGATTATTCCTGTGCAGCTTTTTTGCCATGTTTAATTAGTACTTTCAACTGCAATAGCTAATTGGGCAATTAGCTTGGCATCGAAGAAGCCTGGTTTGTAGGGCAAGAATGAGTTAGACCATTAATACTGCTAGTCTTCTTAGACAGTGGTAGATAGTGCTAGAGGTTCTGACCTTAGAGATTAGCCAGAAGTGCACAATAATAATAAAACCAAAGAGGCGAGAATTTCATGCTGATTGAGAAGAATAAATCATGTGCAGTTTCATAACAGCATTACAATGCTGTGATATAGCAGATTTATGTGCTACAGTGAGATCCCAAATAAAACAAGTATTAACAGATGGGTAGGTAGATATGCAAAATCAAAAGTACGGGATGATTTTTTTAATGTAAAAAAAAAAAATAAAGACTGTTGGGTAATGTATTTGACCTAAACATGGTAAACACCTTAGCCATATTCCAGAGTTCTGCTTTAAGAAGGAAGGGAACCCTTGAACATAGGTTTCCAAGTATAGGAACATTATTTGGATGCCACTATATACAGGTATTTTATACTGATGAAATAGTCAGTTCTTAACTTAAGAGAGAAACAATGTCAGCCAATTTTAGCCATTTCCCTGTGGACAGCTGCATCTCATTTTGTGAGATGCATCATTCCTTCTGATCAAGTACTAGCTGAAGGCAAAGTTGCTCCAAGTTAAAAAAAAAACAAAAACCAAGAAGACTTTCTCACAATACTACCTAGTATTTTTAGTAGTTAAGATACAGTGTTTCTTGCAAGACTCTTAGAGCAAGGATGAATGACAGGACTGTGTTAAGTGGGCAGCAAGAGGTAGCTATTGTTTTAGAGAAACTACATTTTCTCATGTGCTGCCTGGAAACGGAACTTCAGAGTAGACATTTTGAAAAAAAAGTTATCTGTGGCCTGTAAAGGCTTCCTCATCTCAAAGGAAAATATTCTCTCCAGTGTATACTGCCATCTAGGTAGGCCAGAAGAATGTTAATCTTTTAGGACAAGTGGATCAAGTATATTACTAGTGAAGTTAGTGAACACTTTTTGTTTTAGGTAACTACAAGTGCCCCAAACAGATGTCAGCATCACCTACGAGCTGATGGTAAAGATCTAGTCAACAGAAACCAAGATTTCAGTTGTGAATGCAGTGGACTTTTCAGATCATTTTTCCTATTAATATAATAAGATTTCTTAATGATTGAACTACAACAGATGCTGAAAAAATCTCTAGCGTATTTCTTTTGGTAGGCAGTAGTGTTCTTAAACTACTTCAGTTTTACTATCAGCTGTACAGCCTTCTGAACCAGAACTGCATGGATGCCAGTTTACAGGTGAGGATCAAGATTATGATTTAGTTAAGTGGCTGATAGAGGAATTGTGGTAAACACTTAAAGCAACAAGCTTAAAGCATTTCAGAAAAGGAGAGACACATAAAGCAAGATGATTAACAGTGAATCAACAAGGCACATTCCCCTTAAGGGAACTCTAACCAAATGGGTGTCAGATTACTAAATGAACAAACTTTCAAGTTAATGAAAGAAACTGGCCTTGCAAGTTTACAAACAGTTGTATTTAGGACTCAGAGACAAAAAAATTTAAGCTGACATGTTAAAAGTTTTTTCACAATTTCATACATTGAAGTAATAGTTCTGCTAAGAGAAGTCACATCTTCAATATATTCACAAGGTACCAAAAGACAGTAAATTAGGATAAGAAAATACAATACAAGATATAAATATCCAGAACAGGCCCTAAAATGATTCCACAAAGAACAAAGTACTAGGAAAGAGAATGCTGCTTTGTACCTTTGTTGTAACCCTGTATGTGATATATGTCTCCATCGTGCACACGTGTTTTTTGGGATCATCAACAGTAACAAAGAGGTCTCTAGTTTCCACATCCAAGTCATCATCCAGCTGCAGTCTGTTAAGGAGAGATGAGGAGGAGGCTGGGCTAGAAGTGTCCACAGGTGTGCCATTAGGCAGACTAAGATCCTGTAATAGAGAGGAAAAAAAAGGAAGTTTTTCATAAGTTTAACAGATTCAAGGGAAGGCACAGTATTTTCAAAGATGCTACTGTCAAGTTTCACTGATATATTAACAAGGGTATTTATCTCAGCAGCTCCAAGGGTCACCCTTTTCCAAGACACCTGAGCAATCCCCTAAGGTCTGGACTTTGACCATTAAGTTGTTCTACAAGTTGAAGAGAAAGCAAATTACCACCATTAACTCCCCTTAGTATGGCGCAACCTGCTTTCTATTCATAAGGAAGTAGAAATATTGCTGAACCAACACCTCCTGGTGAGACTGAACCAACTCGGACTCTGAAAACAAGTCAGGTAGGCAAATCAAGAGACCTACTTATAATGCAGCCTTCAGGCAAAGTGGCAACAGTTCAGTTGTCTGGAATGCAGTCAGCATTTGCCTCTGGAGATTCCTACAGTAGAGAAGGAGTGCAAACTTTCATCAGAGGCTTCCCATCTAGTCCATTAACATCCAAACACACTGACAGCAGTCAGAACCTGAATTGCCACCACCACACTACAGGACAGTCACTGATCACACCCTTCTGCACCAATGTCTAGGCACATCTCCCTTTTGGAGTTCTAATGAAAACATTACTTTTTCTTGGAAGAGGTCCTCATTCCCATCCTCCCAACTCCAAGAGAATCATCCACTGCCTAAGGAAGACAAAGGCTAGAAGATCCAGCAAGTGGCTATTTTAGGAAGAAATATACAAAGGTTTAGGAACTCTGCAATTCCTTGAAACTGACTGGGCAGAAAGGGAAAGGGGAAAAAAAAGACCAACAAACAAACCCACCAAAAAACCCCCCACCAGCCTTATAGCTAACTTGATATATTTCCACACCTTCAAATCTCACACTTGAATACAGACCAACTACTCCATAACAGTGGTTACTACACTTGCATAAATATCACAGCAACTTCACATGTTCTCTGCTCTGGTTTTCGAGCAGAGGGACCTGACAGCATATGACAAGTTGTACAGCATGTAGGACGGGAACACCTGACAACAGTATTAAAAAGTTCTAAAGATCCATGCCTCTCCTTTTCAGAGAAGAAGGGATTTTTGTTTGCACCTTTTAACTAGTAGCACAGGAATACATTTATCTACAGAGTGACTTCCCCTATTGCTAAACAGAGAAACATCATCTAAGCACCACAGTAACTAGAATTGTTTTAGGTATACAATTACTGCTTAGCCCCAGCCTCACACAGTGTTCAAGTGGCTAAACAAAGCATGCAATCTTAGCAAAGCAATCATGTTTGGGTGAGACTCTCTCTGTTCATCAGTCCTCCTTTCTTCAAAGGTTCAGAACTACAGGTGACAGCCTCAAGGTAAAGCTACTTACAAAGGTCTGCCTTTGACAATGGCTAAGAACTCAGCTAAGTTCCTACTAGTCACTGTCACAAACCCATCATGGGACTACTGGGATTTCATAGACAGCCATCTGTCTATGTGTGCTGCAGTACTGCAGAACTCTGGCAGCGTTGCTCTTCACCTTGAGGGCTGCTTTATGAAGTAGAGAAAATAATGCTTTAGCCTAGACATTTTGGGAAAGGGTGATCTAAACTACTGTCTACTAACAGAGAGTTTAGATGCATTCTCTCAACTAATACACAGAAGCGGCTGCCAACAGATAAGAGATTTCAGATTTAACTGACAGAGGAACAAGAGTAGGAAGGTAGACACTCAAATGCTCTCCTAAGACAGCAAAAGATCAGGATGAGCATGGCACAGCTTGCCAGCTCAGACATGAAGTAGACAACTCAAAGTACATAAGAATCTGGCTCAGACTCAGTGTAGCAGGAGCATGTACAACAGGAAGAAATAATGGTACGATACCTCTGCAGATAAGGAGTGCTGTTGAAGTTACACAAACAATAAGCAGAAGACAGGATAAATTAGCAACAGGAGATGGCTTCAGAAAATCTGCAGTTCAGCTAGACAGGAGAATTTGGCTGAGCAGACTGAAAAGCAAAGCAAAGCAAACCCTGGGATACCACAGTAGCTGCACACAAATCCATTTCTGTTTCCAAAAGGAAAAGACAGTTCATCATTGCCCATATGCAATAAGCATTAGCGTATGACAAGTTGTGCCAGAACTGCAGCTAGTCAAATTATAAGCTTCCAGTATAGAAACGAATTACGTTGCAAAAACAGCTTAAGCCTGGTTGCACAGGAGATCCCAAAAGCTTATAACAAAATTCTTCCAGAAGAGAGTTTAAAGAATATGATGGAATCCACTTAAAATATGAAAACTCTACTCTACCTGGAGGAAGGACCAACGATGGGGCTTGCAGGCACTTGCATGAAGTTATCAACTTTCCTCACCAATTCTGTTAGAGATAACAATATCACACTAGCATTTCTTGCACATTTTAAGCAGGGCAGAAGCCTGTGAAGCCTTGAATCCACTTCATTGTACTTGAGTGTGTTCTTGCAGTCACGGGTCCTGTGGAATGTCTCAGGTCTTAAAGGCTGTGATAGTTTTACCTTGGATGAAGCACTCAATATCTAGATTGAGTAAAGCTTCTATACCAGCTGTGGCTCAGATCAGGAGAGGTGCCAGCTGCGGTGGTGGGGAAAGGACAGATGGTGTGTACACCATGCTATACTGCCTTATCCAGGACAGCAGGATTCTCCCCGACAGCCACTGCTGGCATAATACCCTGCTGCTTGGCTAGTTTTCAGTAGATGAAGGCCAAGTCAAGACCTAAGTATTTCTCCTTAATGGGTGGAACTTCCTAGCTAAGTGCACTGGGAACATTACTTATGGTTGCTGAACCCTCATTTAAAAGGAGGAAGGATCAGTTGGCTGAAGTCTTATGCTAATGCTAGAAAGAGGTAGGCTTTGAAGTGTCACAGCAGAAGACCCAGCAATCTTAGATGTCTCAAGCTGTTATCCTATCAGCAGAAAACCTCCTTGTCATATTAATTAGCATTGTCTTTCTTTCACGGTACTTGGATTTTTTTTCGCAGTTGGAGAAGCAAGACTGCAACATCTGTGTTAGTCTGCTTTTACCACAGAAAGAGGAGTATGCCCTGCAACGCCTAGAGGGAAAGAAGATCTGCAGCCACCTGTGTTTCTACCTCTTGGTATAGCTATCATACTCCCAAGCATCTGAAATACTGGCTAGTATTATCTGTTTTATATAACAGAGTCTGATTTCAGCGCCAGGGACTCAAGCATCAGCTTCACCTTTAGTGCACCAAGCAGCTGCCCATCAACTGTTTTAAGTACCTATCTGCATTATCAGAGATCAGCGTAGTCCAAGTCACAGCAGGTACCCACTGCTTACAAGGCCTGGTTGTCATGGCACCTGTTACTCACAGTACAGTCAGTCTGCCATAAATCTGAGCAGTCACACAGCAGACAGAAAGGGAGGCTGCTTCTGGCAGCCAGGCAGATGGCGTGGAGGACACGTTTTGTCAAGACATTCTTCACTTCTTAGAAAGCATCCACAAAGATTTCCTCGAGCTTCAAAGCTTTTTCTAAAGTAAAGAGCAAAGATTCTTAGTCTTGGTCCCTCACTTCCTCAGGGCAGTCTCCTCCTCAGGACAGTCTCATAGCTTTGTCACCTGCTGAAGCAGGCCAAGTGAAGGTCCACCAAGGCTTGGATCATAATCTACAGCAGAAATAGTGTGTCATTCAGACCTTCAGGTTAAGTACTAGGCTCTTGTGCACAGCTGTAATACCACCACAAGGCAGGCTTTTAATGCATCCCTTAGAAATTCCTAGAATCCCTCAAGACATCCAAATTTATGGGTACATGAGATCAGAAAGATTCTAACAGTACATGTTTGGTATCCTACAGCACCAGACAAGTAGGAACTAACTGCCTGTGTTGGAAATGCATAAGCCTTGCCAACTATGCAGGCTGCTATCTGGTAAGGCTGTTCACATTATTTTATTGTCTTATGATGTCCAAACACCTTGACCAGTTAGCCTGCCCAGAAACAGATACTAAATCTATCAAAAAGCTCACTTCATCCAAGTTTAAAATCCAACTGAATTTTATAAACTAGAAATCTGTCTGCGAGATTTAAAATTCCTTGGAAAGTTTCCAGCAGTTGTCATCTTCTCCCAGGAGATTTTCCAAGACTCCATTTACAGAGCAGCTTGGATCCACATAAAGTAAAACTTCAGGAGTTTGGTATCCTGTCTTCTGGATGGCAGTCTCCCCCAGTGGAGTAATATGCCAGAGAAAGCATCCTGTACTCAAGCCTTAAAGACTAAAAAAAGGTCTAAAATTCTGTAGGTATTGTTGTATTGTCAAGTGAAGACCACACAGTTTCCTGCTGAGTTACATGTAGCTAGTCAATACTGCAGCTTCCACAAACTGAATGTTTTCACCTATCCTGCCTTAGCAAGTGTACAGCTTAACCAGACAGCTTTGCTCTCTAAGCAACAATCCACAAAGGAAGCAGAAGACGTGGCTCAGCTAGGCCTTCCAAGCACACATAAGCTTATCTCTGGAAAGGGCTAGCCTGAAACCATATGATGTTGCATGCTCATTGCTCCCATTTGACAAGTATTATATGATAGTAACAGACATTTAGAAATGTTGCTGTTTAGAAGAAAGTGGTACACTTAACCCCTAATATCCCTGCCTAACTTAACAACCTTAGGGTCAGGCCTGTACTGCTCCTAGAACCTCACGGCTTCACTTCAGAAGTGCTGTACATTTTTTCCTTGTGCTTCAAGGTGTTCCATTGCTTTTGCCATTCATTTTCCAGAGACATGACCACAGACAGAGTCATTTTAAGGAGACAACAATTCCACACAACAATTGTAGCTGGTTTCTGGAACACTCTTATCTCCATACCTTCAGTACATAAGAGTAAGTCACAGCAGAATGGAAGCCAGTGACTGAAAAACTGAAGTGGTTTAGATGTAAACATTCCCAAGGACACTATAAAAGCTTACATTAACTTGGCATTCACAGACGTGTTCATAGCAGTGCTTGTC